GAAAAGGGACAGGAACAAGAAGGCCCGGGAACAAACCAACCTGTTTAAGGCACAGATGAAGGTAATGAATTGAATCTAACCGTTACTTCCTCTCCCCAAATCCTATCCTCATGCTAAATATGATCGTGATTCATCATTGCCTTCTCGAGTTATGATGTTGACACACACACGTGCAGTAATACCCCCATTCCACTAAGACGGCGCTCTCGCGGCGCTCTCTCCGCGACCTGAAATCGGCCAGAGCGCGGAGAGAGCACCAAGGTCGCTATGGGAGCGCCATGAGAGCGCGATGAGCGCCGTCACCTCGGCGACTGCATGGATGCGGTTCATACCATGGACGTGAGAGCGCCAAGGACGACGATGCAACAATGAGCGCCGTGAGAGCGCGGAGAGAGCGCCATGAGAGCGCACAATGGCCAAACCATGCCATTAATTCAGCTATATATTATATAGATTGAAAACATAGCGGTTTTCTTCTACACAACCAGGATTGTTTCTTACCTTGATGTACGTCTCGCCGCAATATGAAAACTATTTTTGTATACCAGGTAAACCAGCTGCAGACGGAGCTCTTGCGGAAAGTGAAGGAACTGCAGGAGGTGCAGAAGAGAAACGCGGACCTGTCCCAACTCCTGGAGGACGAGAAGCCCAACATCAAACTGACGTATTACCAGGTAAGGGACCGATCAGGCGATGAACAGGGGGATGGGAGGAACGGGACCGATCAGGCGATGAACGGGGTGGACGTATTACCAGGCAAGGGACCGATCAAGCAATGAACATGGGGATGGAAGGTACGGGACCGATCATACGATAAACGGGGTGGACGTATTACCAGGCAAGGGACCGATCAAGCAATGAACATGGGGATGGGAGGTACGGGACAGATCAAGCGATGAACATGGGGATGGAAGGGTTGGGACCGACCAGCAGGACGTGTCCATACTCCAGGACGGGACGAATGAATGACAAATACACCTGTACCTGATCGGCAACGCAACGTCAATAATCTCAGGTTTGCGTAACAAACAGGTAACGACCGGTTGTTGTTGTTTTAGACGCCTAAAGACACTTACACGCTCACTTCTTGTTGTCTTAGACGCTGAAAGAGCTGCGTATGCAGGTGAAGACCCTGTTGTTGTTTAGTTGTTGTTGTTGTTGTTCCAGACGCTGAAAGAGCTGCGTGTGCAGGTGAAGTCCCTGCAGACCGACACGGACCAGGCGCGGTGGCGGGCGGACGAGCTCTCCCGGCGGGCGGAGGCGGCGGAGTGGACCGCCCAGACGGCGGCCAAGCTGCGGGAGGAGGCCGAGAAGGAGCGCGAGCAGGCCGTGCAGGAGAGGGACACGCTCTTTAAGGTTAGTCTCTACCAGCTAACATCTGTGTCCATAATATCACCTTGGTCCATAATATCGCCACCTTGAGAAATAGTGTGCTTAAAGATATTTTTACTGCAACATACCCTAGGTATGTACATTTGATGTGTGAAGGAGTGCATACCAAACGTATGCTGCGATAAAAAATTAAGCACACTACTAGTATTTCTCAAGGTGGGGATATTATGGACCCTGGTAATATTATTGACACAGATGTTATATATAGGAGAATAGTTGTCAGGGGAGTTTGGCCGCCTTGTAGGTTTGACCGGCCGCGCAGGGAATGGAGAAGGAGCGAGAACAGGCCGTGCAGGAGAGGGACACGCTCTTTAAGGTCGGTGGGATGGTGGGCTTCTGTGGTTCCCAGTTTTTGTTGTCCTTGTCAAATATCTCGTTAGACGTGGTCTCTTAAATAATGCTGGTTTGCGGTTCGGTTCTAGCCTGGTTACCAAACCTATTATATAGCTCCCGAGTCCTACAGCCTCTCCGCAAAACCGACCTTAACCCTTAAGAGCGTGTTCGGGACTATGATAATTGCGGAGAGGATGTAGGACACTAGTTCAGTTCAGAGCCAGCTCAGCTAGTGTCTCTAGGTGGTATTTAAAACTCTTCGGGTGCCTTCTACAGACCGGAGTATACTCCATCAGTGACAATTAAATCTAGCTCGTGGCAAGGATCATGTTTGAAAGATTATGATGACTGGAGACCGATTTAACTGTCTTAGCGCTTAGTCTAGCTGTTTTCATAAGACAATCAGAGAGAATTGTTTGCGCCTTCTAGGCCCTTTTTGTGAGTACAGGAGGCGCTTTTCAATTGGCAAAATGTACACAGTACTTAGTCTCTACCAGACTAACTACGCTGGCTTAGTTATATAGAAGAATAAGAGGGCGTCAAGAACAAACCAGGGCAGGTACATGTAACTATTTGCTGAAATAACCGGGTCCCGGCCATGCACACACCTGTAACAGGAGGGGGGGGGTATAGGCGCTACCAACTGACCCTGCCGATGGGTCCAGATCTTTTGGCAGAGTCGGTAGGAACGTTGGGTTTGAATCTGGTGCTCGGCAGGTCGACCGATCCCGGAACGTCCGAAAAGGCTAGGGAGGTAACGCCTCTCCAGCGTCACGGTTGACCGCCATGCTGCGGGCCGCCCGGCTCTGTTGGTTCAGTTGTCCCCGCCTTTGTCGTCCCTTTGTCCCCGCGCTGTTCTACACGGTCATACATCAGCGAGTGTAAACTTTGGGCCGGGAAACAGACATACAGGGTGTGCCGCAAACAACACTCGCTACACAGCAACATTCGCTACACTCACAGAACTCGCTACAGAGAACTCGCTACAGAGAACTCGCTACACAACACTCGCTACACGGCAACATTCGCTTCACAACACTCGCTACATTTGCTACAACACTAGTCGCTACTCAACATTCGCTACACAACATTTGCGACACAACACTCGCTACACAACACCTGCTACACGGAACTCTCAACACAACATTTGCTACACAACACTCACTACACAACTCTCTCTACACAATGTGCGCTACACAACATTCGCTACACAACGTTCGCTACACGACATTCGCTACACATTACACCTGCTACACAGAACTCGCTACACAACATTCGCTACACAACTTACATTACACAACATTCGCTACAAAACAATTTCGCTACACAACACTTGCTACACAACACTCTCAGAACCTGTAGTTAATGTTTAATGAGGAGTCCTCTCAAAATCGTTCCGTAAATATAATGTTCTCCATGGCCTTTATAATGAAAATCATGGTGACGCAAAACAGGCAACTACTTTCGCCATGCCCGCTCCTTCCATCAACATTCGCTGCCTGACAACAGCGTGCTTGAATGAATACACAGTGCAGACCGGCCCAGTGTCCCGCTATGTACATCGGACTGTTGGATCCTGTGCTGTGACTTAAAACTACCCTGTACACTACTCTCCATGCAGAGGTTAGGGTTTTGGTTTATTCTTGGCATGTTTACGCGTGAAAAAAGATACCAGTACAATAAAACAAAGTCACTGAGAAAAAAGCCTAAGAACACGCCAAAATAAGCCAGAACCCAAACTTCTGCTTCGAGAGTACATGTACCTGTACACCTGCGCCGTGTAAGTTGTACAAATAGCCCGTGCATGTACCCCTCCTGTGTTGTACAACAGATGTAGCCTATACCCTTCCGTATTGTACCACTAGATTCTGCAGAACTACCGCGGCCAGAACGGCGTGATCGACCTGAAGATAAAGCGGATGGCGGAGCGGACGTGCGACCGGACCGTACAGACCTACATCCGGTCCTGCATGAGCTGCATCCGCGAGGGCAACGTGGCCGCCATTCTGCAGGGCAGCGACAGGTGTCCACATGCGGGGTAAGACGGGTGTGTGTGTGTGTGTGTGTGTGTGTGTGTGTGTGTGTGTGTGTGTGTGTGTGTGTGTGTGTGTGTGTGTGTACGTGTGTGTGTGTGTTTGTGTGGATGTGTGTGTGTCTCAGTGTGTGTGTGTGTCTCAGTGTGTGTGTGTGTGTGTGTGTGTGTGTGCTTGTGTGGGTGTCAGTGTTCTTGGGTGTCTCAGTGTGTCACGGTCTCAGTGTGTGCGTTTTATAGTTTGTGTGCCAGTGCGTATGTGTCTCAGTGTGTATACTTGAGTGTGCGTGCGTGTGTTGAAGTGCCTGAACTATTCTATGCATGTCTCTGTGTGTGTGTGTTTTGTTTGTGTGTCGGTGCTACTACTAACTCAGAGTCTGTGTTGATGACGAACTGTTTTGACGAGAGTGTGTTTTAACAGGAACATCGGCGTGTCCCAGGCGAACCTGGTTGGCGGGAACGCCGTCCTGCAGCCGAGCCGGCAGCCGTCCTGGGCGAACAACTCGGGAGCCAGCCGGCCCGCCACAACCACAACACCCTCCGGCACAGACACGCAGGACAGGGGTACGGTACTCTCTCCCTTCTACTACACACACACAGGACAGGGGTATACGGTACTCTCTCCATCCTACTACACACACACAGGACAGGGGTACAGTACTCTCTCCCTCCTACTACACACACACAGGACAGGGGTACAGTACTGTCTCCCTCCTACTACACACACACAGGACAGGGGTACAGTACTCTCTCCCTCCTACTACACACACACAGGACAGGGGTACAGTACTCTCTCCCTCCTACTACACACACACAGGACAGGGGTACCTTCGACGTAGCTTTAGCAGCACCATAGTTGTAGTATTACTAGTTTTTGCTGACATTCTACTTATTTTATATTGTACCGTGCACCTATTCCCAAAAATGAATTTCGTGGTGTCAATGTGTGGTGTAGCGGCAGAGTGCTCGCCTCGGAACCAAGAGGTGCCGAGTTCGAGTCCTGACGCATGCAACTGATGTTGTGCCCTTGGGAAAGTCACTTTACACGACTTTCCTCACTTAGCTCTAATGAAAATGAGTATTGTCCTGTTCCGTATTTGTCCTCTATCTGCGTCGGTGACGGCATAAAATAAGTGATAAAACTTGAGTTTACCGTCACCATGTCTAGTCATTAAATGTTGCAATAAAAAAAGTGAATTTTGAGTCCTGTTTTCCCCTCCAGACTTGGTGCCGTTCGAGTCCCGTGCTGTTGTGCAGGCGCGCACAGCTGAGAGACTAGGCTGGGGACAGGACTGGGCTCGCGTGGACAGGCCCATGCCTCAGACAGGCAACATGCAGGACAGCAGGACAGCAAGGGTCATCTTCCGCAGGCCTGCATCAGCCTCAAACACAGGCACACCGGCTAGGCTCAAATAGCCTGGCACACCGGCACGGCTCAAATAGCCCGGCACACAGGCACGGCTCAAATAGCCTGGTACACAGGCAACATGCAGGACAGCAAGGGTCATCTTCCGCAGGCCCGCATCAGCCTCAAACACAGGCACTCAGGCACGGCTCAAATAGCCTGGCACACAGGCATGGCTCAAATAGCCTGGCACACAGGCACGGCTCAAATAGCCTGGCACACAGGCATGGCTCAAATAGCCTGGCACACAGGCACGGCTCAAATAGCCTGGCACACAGGCACGGCTCAAATAGCCCGGCACACAGACACTCCCGCACGGCTCAAATAGCCTGGCACACAGGCAACATGCAGGACAGCAAGGCGCACAGGGTCATCTTCCGCAGGCCGCATCAGCAACGTACTCGAAGAAGGGAACAGCATAACAACTTGTAACGAAAAATACCTGCACTAACTTAAGATCTTCTGCAATGCATTGACAGGAATTCGGCAGGGGAACATTACATCTAGGAGGCATGAACTGTTTTGTAACTAATGGAAAATGAATGTAATATAAATAGACAACGCTTTGTCCATGGGTGGGTGCTTCTTATTTTAGTTAATGTCCTCAATACAGTTGATGTCTTATGTACAGTTGGTCGAGTGGTTATTTCAAGCTACGTGTATGTGTGTGCAAATGAGTGTATGTAGAGGCACATGAGTGTATGTACAGGCACGAGTGTGTTCATGCATGTATGTGGGTGCATACGTATGTGAAGCGCACAAATGTTTGTGCGTTCCTGTGTGTATGCATGTGAGCACACTCTTTTGAGCACGCTCGTGTGAGCATGTGTGTGTGTGTGTGTGTAAAGAACGTATTTGTGTGCATGTGCGTCCCTGTGCGTGCGTCCCTGTGCGCACCTTTGCAACTAAACTCTCATTGTTGAATGGTAGAATGACATGAAGCTTAAGATTGACACCAAAAGAACAACCAATAATGAATACAACAAAAGAAAAACTTCGAGGTATGAACACAGAAAAGTTGTTGATTTAAGGATGATTTATTTACTGGCTGTGCAGGACGACAGCCACCGTAAGGATCACAACTCTGATAACAGCGGATAAAACTTCTACACTCGGCACAACAAATAATCTTCCACACTGGGATTTATATGGGGTTTTAGAGATAGAGGTACATTTTTTCTCTGTTTCAATTTACAAACACAAGTTTGTCTTGTTCATAACAACCACCCTTCTCAAAACTAGAGACCGTACGTGCTTGTTTTTGCCTTGTCTGCCACGACATAATCGGAGTACGTTTATTATTAGGTTGTTTATGACATTAAACAACTGTATGGCTTACGTATAGGGTAAGTCTCTGACAGGCACATCGAATATCACGTTTGTCAGAAATCAGTTGTCTGTGCTCAGGATGACAGATGTAACGGCGTATTCTGAGGCACAACAGAAAGAAGTTTTCTTCTCGCCTCAAAACTATAGTTCCATACACACTGAATCATCAGGCACCATGTCATTACAGATATGTTGTTAAATTCTGTAGATAAACCTGCAAAGTTTCCCAGAGTTTTTAAGATTTAGAGCTCGGCCAAACAGGGTAACACTTAGGTTCAATTTTCCTGAGTATTGTACTGTATATCTTAGTTGCAGACATCTAAAGCCAGACTGAATTTGGAGCAAACTTTTGCAACCGATTCATGTTAGAAATTTTAAGTATCGTCATCATAGGCTGTACGTAAAGAATTAATCCGGGATGTTTTCCTTAGGTGCTATTATACAGTCACCATATTGTGCTTTTGGTTTGTAGTTGTAACACTAATAAGAGACAACTGGTAACTCTTAGTTCCAGTCTCACAGACTAGTGACCTGTACAGTGGTCTAGCTGAAAGGGTCGTTGTCATGGTTACCAAGGATGCAGACACGCTATTGGTGCAGGTGGGGGTCAGGGGTCAGTGGTGAGCCTCCGCAGCACCTGGAGGGGTGACTCCCTGCAGCTGTGGGGGGGAGTGTGTACATGTTAGGGACAGTTCACTAACACACATGGAGGGATGGCTTCCTCACAGATAAACATCAGCTGGTCTAGGCCTAGGAAAAAAAATGTTGTGTTTCCTGTTTCAGTCCTGAAAAAATTATGGTTGGTAGGTAGGGATTATCTTTTTTTTTTAGACTTCAGTGATATCTATATAAGGGTCCAACTTATACAATACAGTTGAACCAAGTAAAACTTGCATGAGGACACTTTTATTTTCAATGTCAATGTTAAAAAACCAATTGTACAACGTTTTATCACTCAGGTGTCAGATCATGGAGCTAGAAAAGGTTGATCAGCTCAAAAACTTGCAGAGGTCCACCCCCAAAAAAGTCTAGGGCGGCAGTTTTTTCTAGGGTCGGTCGGGAAACAGGAAACGTAATTTTTTTCCTAGGCCTATCCAGGCTAGTAATGAACATTTCTACAGTTCTGTACTGAAAGCAAAAGGATACACAAAAGCAGATTTTGTTTAAAGTTAAAACTTTATATCCAGCATAAAGTTCTCTCACCTTGAGCTTTTGACCAGTCACTCTGGCCTTCCTCAGTAGACTGACCCAGTGTTGACGTCACACTTCATACTCGAAGAAGCCACGTGACAAGCCTCACTGGGTCAGTCTACTGAGGAAGACCAGACTGACTGGTTGAAAGCTCTAGGTGAGAGAACATTTTGTGTTGGATCAAAAGTTTTAACTATTAAACTTTTAACTATTAAAAGTTTTAAATATTAAACTACCAACACAGATTCCTTGATTTTCGTGTTTTTGACCTTTGAATGGCTGGGACTTTGAGTATAGGACTATGACTCTGTTTTGACACATCAGACTCTTATGTTTACTGTATGTTGTCCACTCTTGTCTTACTGTATGTAACAATGTCTTGTGTAATTTTGCTGGCCCCCCTTGGAAAACAGCTAATGTAAGCTGAATGGGGCTACCCAGCCATCTTATGATGAAATAAATAAATAAATAGATGAACATTTGTGATAGTAAAAGCGGATTAAGTGTTTGAGAGAGTTGTACCTGAAACCAGTGTCCACATTCACAGCGCTGGGCGTCCCCCTTCTCTAGCCACATCCACTGGATGTATGTGGCGTCTTCTTCACCTGTAGCAGAACAACAAATAAAAACCAATAATAAAAGACATTGCTTATCAACCATTATCTTGTATTGGAGGGATTTGGAGCTTAGCCCTTGTCCTGCTGGCATTCCTGGCACAATATTTTTCAATAATTTCATGTCTTAATTAGAGTATAGACCCCCAAGTTTTTTTGCTCTGCAGTGGCATAGTTACTTCCACATTCGTTGCGTTTCGCTGCGGTGTGATGCGTTGCACGAGAAATACCCCCAAATCGTACCGATACGGGGTGTTATATAGATGGTACTGTATGTGCAGAACAACAATTGTTGTGCTCCGCAGGACAAGGATTAAAAGTTGTACAGTAGAAGCCAAAAAAACCTAAAAGTCAAAAACCAAGTCCGGACTTATTACCCCAAAAAAAAAACATTTCACATACCCCTTTTCTTTCCAAACCAACTAAAACCTTCCATAGATTGCAAAATGTTATGTTATGTGGCCAAAGTTTTGCCCTAACAACATTGCAAGGTTGCCAACATGCAATTTTGTATATGCCATGGGCTAAGGTCCAGATTTACGAGCTCGTAACTGAACCTAAACCTCTGGACTTGAATCCGGACCTGAACCTAAATGTGGGTTTAGGTACACAGCACTACGGCCCAGGTATGATATAAAACTACTTACAGACACAGCCGACGAGGCGGCGCTCATAAATGGAGGGCACCATGCAGGGACTGTCTCTTGTTCCGGGAGGGGTTGTGTTGATTTCCATACTAAAAGGGTCCTAAAAGACAGAAACATGATGAGGTCAGGAATCTGATTAACAAGGAACTTTGAAACTTTCTTTAGAATAGCCATTAGCCAAAGGGTCCACCGCTAGTCTTCCTGGCATTCATACAGAAAAAAAAACTTCCATATACATACAGTTGACAGAATCATTATACAATATCTACAAGGTATTTACAAAATTACAATACATAAAACAGTTATTTAAAAACACACAGGTGCTAGTGGAAATGTTCATACAAACTGCTCTTAAAGAAATCTCATCGATTGTGTGGATTGCACAACAAGTAGCTGGTCATTATGTCCTGTAATAAATACAGTATAGTAGTCATTGACAGTAATTCACTTAGCAAAAGTTCACGGTATGAGAAAAATGAACATGTTCACGGAACTATATTATATTCACGGTGCACAGCTCCAAATATGGGTGCACTAAGGTGCACAAGCCCTGAAATATGATATGGAAATCCCTAACTTACCGCAATGCCAGCTTTCTTCGCGTCCAACTCTCTCTTCTCCAGACCAGTGGCCTGTTCATCATCCGTGGGGACACCTGAAGTAACACAATCCACAAGGAAACATCAATGTACTAAAACAAATTTCAATTCAATTCAATTTATTCATTTAACCAGTAATTACAGCTCAAGCCATTTTGGCCTGCTTTTCAGGTAATCCTGGATACACATAAAAATACATACAACAAATACACAGTACATAAACTATTACTAAATACAACATCCTAAATTTATATAGATGTTTGTATAAAAACAACTTGTAACAAAACATTTATTACTTGTGACAATACACACTACAGGTTAAAATGCCAACATTCATTAAAAGTACTAATCAAAAATTGACATGACCTCCTTGACATGACAATCAAACAAAACTATCATTTATATCACGTGAAGCCTTGGAACATACACAATATCTAACTTTTCATGAGAAAATTTGCCATGTTGGAGTTTATTGTATGCTTGTTACGTCAATGTGCTCCTGTCAACTACAACTATAAACAGGCACAATCACGGTATGTCCTCTACGATTTATTAACTGTATTGTATGCATAGAAAATCAGAAAAGACATACAGACGAACAAATATTTCTATCATTAGTGCCAACCCATGCCAATTTGTGAGGCTGTTATAATGTGTGCATCACCAATTATGTTCCACGGATTGGTAATTATATGTTGACATAACTTTGACAAAGTTGAACGACCAGTTTCAAATAAAATCACCTCGCAGTAAGATTATCTCCTTTTGTTTGTTGGTGCGACTAACAGTATAATTACTACAAAATAATTAAAACAGAATGAGATGTCCCTAACATGAGCTCAGGAGAAAGGTTCTCCCACTGCGTGATAGATGAAAGTGATTTATCACCTTAAGGCACGCAATCGTAAAGGTTTCGGTCATAATAATTTCCAATAGTCCGTGACTTTGACCGCTATGCAGGGACACAAGTGTTGTTATAAAACTGCTCCAAAACAGCTAATTTATGATACGCCAGAGTAGGAGAGTATTTGTTCTGAGCCATAGTGTGGATAGTAGATGATTAAAACAAAGACTTCGTGGCTTGCCATTAGTAGTTTTTAAAGCGTGGCGTCTTTACAAAACGCCGGTACGGGTGTGAATAGTAACGATCCAAGATGTGTGACGCGCCGGATTGAGTACTTAGAATGCTCCATACAAAAAGTCGTAGAAAGGTCACGGTACGTCAAATGAGACCATACAATGTATCTCCGTAATCAGAAAGGTACAGAGAACCTTGTGTAGTTCAAACAATGACTTCAACTTATACTGGATCCACGGATTAACGCGTCAAAGTTCGCCCTTACTCAGAATTTAGGCGGTTTCCGCCATGTTGTTTTTGACTGAAATACGCACCACATGGGGGTTTCGTGGCACCCGGTTGCGCATCTGTTTCCGGGTCACACCAGGGGTCACACTATCGAGTACACTGTCAGACGACGTGGTAGCAGAACACAGTTTTCGCCCTATGGGGATTTCTATAGTTAAGGACCCCAAGATGACTCACTTCGACGCGGTAAGAATTATAGCAGGGTGCACTTCACAAATACGAAAATCGAATATGTTTCAGAAGAAGGTACAAACTACAAGATATCTAGAAACGAACAAATCCTGTCGGCGTATCTGCTCGTAACGTACACTTTGAAATCGCCTCCTACGGACGTGACCTGAACTGCAGCCGACTCACCCGGAAAGCCAGTTGCGCAATACGGCGCATTTATACACGAACTGCAAAACCTTCACAATTCAAATCACACAGTCTCAAACCCGATACATTCCTACACCACACAGCATAATTTACATCTGGCTGACGCTCTTATCAGTCTTTCTACCCAGCCTTCAAGAATATTCGCTGCACTACTTTCTAATACTGTGACCTGCTACCACGTGGAGGCAAATTCTCCGTCATAAATATGTGAACATACAGTCTAAACAGTTAATAAGTTGAAAGTGTATAATACCTTTGAAAGTGTGTAATACCTTTGACACAGTTTTAAACGGAAAGCTCTCCCTTATAACTGCGTAGAATACACAATCTAAATAGTGTAGACTTGAAGTGTGTAATACCATTGACAATGTTTTCGGACGTTTCCTCTATAAAATTAGTGCGAGACTATACAGTCCAAACAGTGTACTTTGAAAGTGTGTCACACGATTGACACAGGTCAAGTTGGAAGGCAAGTTCTCCGTCATAATTGCTTGCATGTACAGTGTAAAATGAAAATGATGAGTTTTCTTTGACCTGAGTAGTGGCGGGATAAAATATGTGAACATACAGTCTAAACAGTGAATTGTTGGAAAGTGTGTCATACCTTTGACACGGAAAAGTCCAGCCTCATAGCTGCGTGATATACAGTCGAAACTTCTAAACAATACATACATTGCTTTGCCATTGTGTCATACCATTGACACAGTTTTGGACGGAAAAGTATTTCAATCACAAGTAGGTAAACAATGGAAAGAAAAATATGCTTTTAAAGCGTGTTATACGATTGACACAGTTGTCAGACGGTAAAGTTTTCCGTCAAAAGTGCGTGTGTATACAGTCTAAACTATGTCAAACCATTGACACAGTTTTAAGACGGAAAAGTACTGTGTCATAACTGCGTGATTATACAATCTAAATAGTGTACACTTTAAGTATGTCATACCATATGCATCGACAATGTTTTAGGACGGAAAACTGTTCCTCTATAAAATGAGTGCGCTACTATGCAGTCCAACTTTGACAGTGTGTCATACGGATTGACACAGTTTTTGGAAGGCAAGTTCTCCATCATAATTGCGTGCATGAACAGTCTAAACAGTGAATACCTTTTTTTATTGAAACATATAATGACAAAACGCGGTGGCGACACACTCAACTTAAACTTATATTATATAATAATTGTGAATACCTTGACAGGATGTCATATCATTGAAACATTTTTTGGCCGGAAAAGTTTTCCGTCATAAGTATGTGAACATACTGTATAAACAGTGAAGAACACAGTTTTTAAACGGAAAAGTCTTCCGTCATAACTGCGTGGATATATACAGTCGAAACAATGCATACTTTGCTTTGACATTGTGTCATGCCATTGGCACAGTTTTAGACGTATAGGTTTAAAAACTATACATTTATTTTTATTAAAAAGTGTGTCATACGATTGACACAGTTTTTGGAAGGCAAGTTCTCCGTCATAATTGCTTGCATGAACAATCTAAACAGTGAATGCCTTCAAGTTGACAGGATGCCATATCATTGACACGATTTTCGGATTGAAAAGATTTCCGCCATAAGTATATGTGAACAGACAGTCTAACAGTGAAGACTTTGAAAGTGTGTCATGGCGGAAAAGTCCTCCGTCGTAACTGTATGGATATACAGTTGAAACAGAGCATACTTTGCTTTGACATTGCATCATACCATTGACACAGTTTTGGGACGGAAAGCTCTCCGTCAATATATTCGATATCTTAGTGAATATACAGTCAAAACAGTGTATACCTTGATATTTTGTCGAACCATTGACACAATTTTCCGGCATAAAACTTTTTCTTCATAAGTGCATAACTATATAATATAAACATTGTATAGCGGTACTTTGGCAGTGTGTCATACTATTGACACAGTTTTCGGGTGGAAACGTTTTCCGTCATCAGTGGGTGAATATACAGTCTAAACAGTATATATTTTGCCAATGTGCCATACCATTGACAAAGATTTCAGACGGAAAATGTTTCCGTCATAAGTGGGTGAATATACTTTAAACAGTATTTACATTGACAGTGTGTCATACCATTGACAGTTTGACACAGTTTTCAGACGGAAAATGTTTCCATCATTTCCATCATCAGGTTAGCCAGGGTTAGCATACTGTCAAACAGTGTATACTTTGAAGTGTGTCATACAGCTGAATATGCACAATGTTGTTTTTTTTTCGTCCCCTGTGCGCTGGAGGATGTGCAGCCGAAGTTGAACGTGCCCCTTGAATATTGGCGCCCGCGAAGTTCTGTGGTTCTGTAACGTTATAGTCGGCTGCACAGAATTTGAAGGACAGGTCGGCACTTAGAGTGCATCCTGGATACGGACCTACTCTATCCCAAAGAGATCGCACCTCAGAGCGCATCCTCGATACGGACTTACTCTACCAAGAAGACGTCGCACTTAGAGCGCATCCAGGATACGGACTTGCTCTATCTAAAGAGGACGGTCCCAGCAAGTTAAGATATACCGCAAACCCACACCGCAATAGCAGTTCAAACTTGTTTCATAATGACTTTTACCAACAAAGATAAACTTACAAGAGAAGGTTTAAATTCTGTTGTCTAAGGCGCTATATCATTCGTATTTCACCTGTGTCATTGGAATGATATAGCCTTGAACAACAGAATTTCCATGATGGTTATTGGAATGACATATCTGCCGTCTTAGGGCTATGTCATTCCTATGACACAGGTAAAATATCTGCCGTCTTAGGGCTATGTCATTCCTATGACACAGGTAAAATATCTGCCGTCTTAGGGCTATGTCATTCCTATGACACAGGTAAAATATCTGCCGTCTTAGGGCTATGTCATTCCTATGACACAGGTAAAATATCTGCCGTCTTAGGGCTATGTCATTCCTATGACACAGGTAAAATATCTGCCGTCTTAGGGCTATGTCATTCCTATGACACAGGTAAAATATCTGCCGTCTTAGGGCTATGTCATTCCTATGACACAGGTAAAATATTTGCCGTCTTAGGGCTATGTCATTCCTATGACTCAGGTAAAATAACTGCCGTCTTAGGGCTATGTCACTCCTATGACACAGGTAAAAAATTTTCCGTCTTAAGGCTATATAATTTCTATGACACAGGTAAAATATTTGCCGTCTTAGGGCTATGTCATTCCTATGACACAGGTAAAATATCTGCCGTCTTAGGGCTATGTCATTCCTATGACACAGGTAAAATATCTGCCGTCTTAGGGCTATGTCATTCCTATGACACAGGTAAAAAATTTTCCGTGTTAAGGCTATATAATTTCTATGACACAGGTAAAATATCTGCCGTCTTAAGGCTATGTCATTCCTGTGACTCAGGTAAAATATCTGCCGGCTATGTCATTCCTATGACACAGGTGGAAATTCTGCTGTTCAGGGCTATATCATTCCAATGGCTCAGGTGACATATATTTGCCATGTTAAGGCTATGTCATTCCTATGACACAGGTGGGAATTCTCTTGTTCAGGGCTATATCATTCAAGTGACACAGGTGAAAAATCTACCGTCTTTATTTGTCAAGCAATTTTTACATGTATGTAGACATTCTAGCATTGTTCCATTTAAAGATATATGTAGTCCAAAGTTACAATTACCCCATAACTGAAATTGTCGTGAACGAAAATGAACTACATTAGAACTTACATACGTGCGCACAGCAAAACAGATTGTCTGTAAGACAACTTACGGTATGTTTCGTTAGAAACATGAATGATATGTCCCGGTCAGAATGGTTAGGGTGAACAGGGTGTAACGTGAAGTTCGAAGAAACAATTAGTATGGTTAAACTGAGTGATCCTGATAGAACAACTATTAGAGGTAAGGCTTACATGTTACCTTGCAATAAAGAATAAAATATATAACGTTAGTAATACTACGCTGTGTATGCCGTATTGCCCAACGTACCAACCCGACCGCGGGTTTAATCGCCCGACAGCCGCATGTGGCCGTTACACTTTTTGTGTAACGGGGGCCGTTCGAGTTTCTATGAAACATTTGGAAGCATGTGTGATAACAAAAGAGACTCCGGGCCGTACCGTTACACTGGCCAGAACATCCGTATCGGACGCAATCGCCGTCCAACTATAAGCACACATACGCGTATTAGCAGCTGTTAGGGGGCGTGGTTTGACCCGGAAGTAGACTGGACAGCGGTCGTCTGAAAACCCCCATGCAGACCGCAAAACACAGAAAAACCACGCCAAAATGAGTACTTAGAAGGTCAACTTTGACGGGACATATCTCGTCTTCCAGTGATTTTTGAATTTCCAACTGACCCATACACTGTTGTCTGACTCGTTGACATCACGGGGACACATAAACCAGCCTCATTTGACGTATCGTGACCTTACTACGACGTTTTGTATGGAGCATTCTAAGTACTCAATCCGGCGCGTCACAGATGGAGACATGCCGCCATGACGGCGGGGGGAGCCTTCACGTGAGCACAAAATTCGCACCTTGTTACAGAGTTTAGCGACAAAATGCCGCAACAGAAATGTTCCCTACCTCCGACTGCCATGTGCCGGACGCCAGTGGCGGCTGGAGGGACCACCGCACGGCGGACAGAAGAGAAAATCTGACGACAAAGCAACCTTGAGGCCATCCTGGAGCAGCAAAGAACTGAACAAGGTCACAACTCCCGGCATGCAGCGCGCGACAAAAGGTCAACACGGGTCAACACCGCAGCAAAACGACAAACAGATATCACCAGGTATATTCCCGATGAGCTTCCCACGAGAGGTTGATAAATATTATCAACTAAATTTACCGTTGAATACCTTTCAATACTTGGCATGCATGAAACTCATTCTTTTGCCCCCAAAGAGATCAGCTCCCAAATACGATACGTTTGGATGTGGTGTAAAAGGTTACTCTCCAAGCAGAGGTTTGGTTTGGCCAAAACCCAAACCTCTGCTTTGAGAGTAGAGGCATAAAATTCCCTGGTTCTACCAAAGCTTGTCATGGTAAAAAGTTAGAGTAGATTTTAATTTCTGTTCTAACGTAACTTTATATATCAAGTTCCATGTAATGAAAGTTCTAACTTGCAGATACATGTAACATATCAGAGAAAGTCTGCTCTAAATTCTTTTTCTGCACAAGGCTGCCTGTACATGTACCGTGTGCCAAAAAAGAATTAAAGTCTTTTCTACTTTGTGCTGATACCTGTAACATTACTATGGTCTGTAAGACTATTAATTAATAAAAGTTTTTGTGTGTTTTGTTGTCTTTTCTATCATACTTCAATATTTTGTTCCTCCAAACTGCTTGGCTGGGCCATGGCTTGGGAATCGTGTCCTTAGCATAAGCTAGATAGATAGATAAATTAGATAAAAGCTTCATGTTATATCACTTTCTTGTATCATGTTTCCATCATCTGGGCTCTCTTGGAAATCAGCCTTCAATGGCTGAAGGGACTACCCATGTGTTTCAAAGGTTAATAAATAAATAAATGAAGTAGGAGCGAGGAGGGTAAAAATGTGTTACAGTCAAATACATTTAGTTTTTCTACTTAACACAGATGTAAAGAAGGAGTTCAGGCAATGTCAAACATCACGCATAACAAAGATTGATGTATGCAAATTATATTAATTGCCAAATAAGACACATAAAACAACAACAACAACATTTGTAAATTTGGATCAAAGGAAGTCCTACAAAGTTTTCAAAATCATGTCATAATATCATATTCTTACAAGTATACTCAGTAATTATACCGGTCACTTTAGTGTTGATGGTGCTGGATATTCAATCTTACACAAGTATCATACTGACGCATGGTGGCAGTACATGTAGACTGGATAAATTAAAGTCAATTTTATTAAGATTTGCTCCAATTTGATATAGAAAAAAAATTAATTGCGTCTTAAATTAGTCATCAAAAATTTTGACATCCTTGTCCAGTGGTCGCTGTTGTTTGGTGACATCCTTAGTTTGTCGTTGTTGTTTAATGACATCCTTGTCCAGCGCTCCTTGTTGTTTGTCCCCCTGTACATGTGTGGTTGGTTCTGAGTCCACGTTTGGCTCACTCAAAGTTTCACCCTTAACCCAGGAACTTCTCTGGTTCATCGTCCTACTCGGACCTGGCGGCTGTCCGGCCTGTTCCATGGCATAGAAGCGTTCTCTTGCTTTTCTCCAGTTTTTTCCCTTCCCAGTCTTCAGTCCAACACTTTCCACATCTCTGGGTGCCGACGCGCCTAGGCCTGACTGGGACTCACGGAGAGACACCTGTACCTGGAGCATAAACAGGGAAGTTACAGCATGAAGGTCTCCTAACGAAAATGGACAAAGATGTCTGTTGCCATGCCGGAACGTGGATGGCAGATAACTATGAAGAGAGGAGACAAGAAAAGGCTCTTTTATATGACATTCTCCTTGAATCAAAACCATTTGTACAATGATTGAAAACTTCTATTTTTCAGTGACAATGGATGTTGTAATAGGTTGACAGTAAACCTAGCACAATTTCTGATGTCAAAATTTGAAAATGCAGCAATCTTGTTTTTTAGGCCCATCTTGTTTTGTTTTTGCTTTAGTGTATTAGATTTGAAGTCTGTGAAGGATATCATCTATAAAATTTACTTGCTGTGGCCTAAGTACCACACTTAGCCATACAAATGTATTGAGTACTTACTGGTTCCTGCCTGCCCTGGCTGGTCTTGCCTAAACCTTTCCCCTCCTTCCAGCCCATCTTTTCAAGCATCTTCCTCCCTTTATTACTAGTGCCTATGGCCCTGTGTAGAACACAACAGAACATATTAAAACAGTTGATTTCAAGTGGGTAAAGAAACAGTAACAGTTGATTTTAAGTTGGGAAAAGGACAGTAATCCAACTGTTGATTTTTAATGGGGAAAAGGACAGTAAACTTACTAGTGTACTGATAGTTTGAGTAGGAAAAAGAATGGTGAACTGTTGATTTTGAGTGAAGAGAAGTACAGATAACTGACTGGTGAACAGAAGCTGGTGCGTCGTCCTTCTGGTAAGGGTTGTCGCTGCCCACAGTCTGCCTCCTGGCCCCGGCGCGGTCCTGGTAGCCGCCCGGCAGCCCCGCATCTTTGCTCACGACAAACGCCGCCGCCTCCAGCTGGTACTTCTTCTTGATCTGCTTCAGTTCTCTTCTCCTCTGCCTCTCCTTGTCTTCTTTTGACAGGACAGGGGCAGCTTCTGAAGGTGGGAAAAAAAACTCACATTAGGTCTTCAACTTCAGAATTCAAATGACATGTAATCAACTGACAGCAGTCAATTAAAAAAAGTCAAGGGTCTGTGACCTGATTAAGACTAGAAATTACTTGAAAATATTGTGTAAAAAAAGTCCAGCAGGGCAAGGGTTAACTGTTGATTTTGATAGGGGAAAAGTACAGGTCATAGGACAGGGGCAGTATCTGATGGTAGGAAAAAACTCACATTAGGAAGGTCTTCATCAAACACTGCGTACAAGATGTTATGCAAAAGACTCACATTAGGAATTGTATTCTTTGTGCTGCAAAAGCGCCACCTACATCGGCTACATATAGCAGCAAGAAGCAGAACTCCAGTCGAAGGCAGGAGGGAGATCCGATCCGCGGGAGGGCCGGGACCGAGGGTGATGTGGAATACACCGTGTTGTATCTTATTTGTCATACCCACCCAAGAAAACACGCCTTTCAATGCAAAATGAGCGAAAATTTGGTGTCCCTAAACCAAAAAAAAAAAAATCAATTCCAACGTCCGAATTTTGTATTTGAATGTTCGAAAGTGGTGCACGCGGTTAGGCCGAAACGCATTCGAATCGTTGTATGGAACGTTTGGAAGCCCGGACCATACGCGTTGTTTGTTTGTTTGTTTGTTTACCTTGCCGTAGCTTCTCCCTCTCTGCGATGGCAGCCATGACCAGTCCAGGTTCACACCCGTCACACGTGTCCGTCCCGTTGTGGATGTGCAAACTCAGCACCGTGCCGCCCAGCTGCAGTACCGCACCATGGGACACAGGACAGGGGGCGCTTCTGCACTTTGGCTGCAGCAGGTGGGAAAATCATACATTCAGGTGTCACGCAGATGGAAATGGATTCAGGTGTCACAACTTTTATTTTCAGCAGGGGGGAAATGGAGATAAAAGACAGATGTTGCTTATGGCACGGACACATTTCTAAACTGGTGCCAGTACTCATGACTAGATTTTAAAAACTTCTTTGCCAGTTATTTATGTACCTCAGAGATCCTCTGGCCATTCAGTAAGGTTCCATTCTGGCTGCCGAGGTCGGTTACAGTGTACTGCGCTGCGCCCCTGTCATAGCTGACTTCCACATGGCTCTGCAGAATTGTGAACAGATATACATGTAGGTATGTATGTATGTATGTATGTATGTATGTATGTATGTATGTATGTATGTATGTATCATTCATTCATTCATTCATTCATTCATTCATTCATTCATTCATTCATTCACTCACTCACTCACTCACTCACTCACTCACTCACTCACTCACTCACTCACTCACTCACTCACTCACTCACTCACTCACTCATTCATTCATTCATTCTAGGTCACAGAGGTATCAGACATGGTACAGTAGTACTGCCCCGCACCCTTGTCATAGCTGACCTCCACATGGCTCTGCAGAGTCAGGGACAGACACACATGTAGGTTTGTTTAAAGTTAAAACTTTTGGTACGTCACACTTCAAAGAAGCCACGTGACAAGCCTCACTGGGTCACTCAGTCTACTGAGGAAGACCAGAGTGACTGGTCGAAAGCTCTAGCTACAATGTAGGTGAGAGAACTTTTTGTGTTGGACCAAAACATAAGACCTGGAGTCTGTACCTTGCTGATGTTGAGATCAGGGATGCGGATGGCGTGGCCCATGTGTGTTCTGTAAGGGCTAAGGTAAGGTGTGTTCTGTAAGGTGTGAGTAATGGCTAAGGTAAGGTGTGTCCTGTAAGGTTAGGTGTTACCTTGCTGATGTTGAGATCAGGGATGTGGATGGCATGGCCAATGTGTGTTCTGTAAGGGCTAAGGTAAAGTGTGTTCTGTAAGGGCTAAGGTAAGGTGTGTGCTTCTGTTGTAACCTTGCTGATGTTGACATCAGGGATGCGGATGGTAAAGTTTTACCTTGCTGATATTGAGATCAGGAATGCGGATGGCGTGTCCCATGTCCTTCTCCCTCCCGATGGTGCCGCCGTCACATGTGATGATGAACAGACTTCCTGGTCTCAGCGTGTCCGACTCTTCTACCATCACTCGGATGCACGGCGGCCACTGCAGGGCCGACTCTGAAACACAGTCTTCTGTAAATCTGTATTCTTTAGATTATATTTAAGGGTTAATGACCCGCCCCGAGGTGAATATGGTGTGATAAAGCCTTGTCAGTTGCTATAACCACCGAATAAAGCCACTGAGTGAGCGCAGCAAACGAGGTGGCTTTATAAGGTGGTTATAGCAACTGACAAGGCTTTATCACACCATATTCACCGAGAAAGGGCGGGCCATTAACGCTATTAACATATAGCCCATCAAAACTTACACAGTAAAGAGTGACACATTCCTGTACAACACATAAAAATGTAAATAGATCATAGAAAACAACTCTTAACATAAACTTCTCTTCTCACCATCACTTTCTTCACTTTCACCTGAGGAGTCCTCACTTTCACTTGAGGAGTCTGAGTCTTCCGACTGCTGATCCTCCACATTAACACAATCTTCTTCTGCACTGTCTACTACTTCTCCCTCCTCTAACTCAGCCCCCAGGTCCATTCCATCCTCCAGTGCACCCGGACTCTGATTGGTTCCCTCGAGTGTAGCCGGACTCTGATTGGTTCCATCTAGTGTAGCCGAACTCTGATTGGTTCCTTCTAATGCATCTGGACTCTGATTGGTTCCTTCTAGTGTAGCTGAACTCTGATTGGTTCCCTCTAATGCAGGCTGACACTGATTGGTTTCCTGTACTGCAGGCTGTTCCTGGTTGGTTCCTTCTAGTGCAAGATGTATCTGATTGGTTCCTTCTAGTGCAGCCGGACTCTGATTGGTTCTCTGTAGTTCAGGCTGACTCTGATTGGTTCTCTGTAGTTCAGGCTGCTTCTGATTGGTTCTTAACTTGTCCTCCTGTTCCTTCTCAGAATCACTGCCCATGCTGATGTCAATCACTTCAACTTCAACTTCTTCTTTCTCTTTTCTGCGTTTCTTTTTCTTCCTGTGTCTTTTTCTCTCGCGGCGTTTTCTTACCTCTTTGTCCTCATCGTCAATCAAAACCACCTCCATTTCGCCCGCCTGGAGAATAAAAAAGGAAAGAAAGACAGGGAAGGTTTACATACCTATCTGAGTGTGGTAGCTACAGGATCTGGCTTGGTGGGAATGTAAGGCAAGGCTAGCTAGAGCATCTGTCATCCACTGCACTGCTGCCTACAGGAAAATATAACCAGCCCTGTTTAAAATATACTCTAATCTAGGATATAGGGGTATTCTTTTACACTGTAAACCAAACTTGTCCTACGTCGATGATGGTTAGACATCCAGGTAATAAGATATGCCAAAAAGCAGTTACTCAAGCAACCATTTGCATATCAATCAATAGTTTGTGCTAATAAACCTGCATTTCTCCTCTGGTCTCTCGGTCAGTAGTAGATACTAGCTGAAATGTCTGATCGTTTCCAAAATCACATCCAGTTGCTTGAGTAACTGCTTTTTGGCCAAACTTGTCCTAACTTGCTTACGTTTCAGTGTCTGTCAGACACCTTCCTCAGAGCTTCTGACTGGAGTTCTGCTTCTCGCCGCTATACATGTATATCAGCTGATGTAGGTGTCACTTTTGCAGTGAGAACACAATCCCAAATGTGGCTAAGTTTTTATCTAAGGTATCGATCCTCCGTAGGACAAGTTTGGTTGTGTAAAAGAATACCCCAGGCCTATGGCCTATACTCTACCAACCTAATGAAACTATTTTTTGAAACTCTACCTAAATAGCCTTTAGTGTAAGCAAACTTACTTTTTTTACAAACACTGACAACCACAAAGATAATAACAATGTTTTACCAACTCCATCTAGAAATGTTTGATATTGCTGGTATCATTTTTGATATGTCCTGATATGTCCAAATCAGACATTTTGTTTAACATACCTACTTTGTTTAACATAAAGGTACACACACAGCAACTTGTAAAGGTGCGTATGCACCTGTTTTCTTTATTTCTTTATTTGAATTTACCACATGCAAAAAACAAGTGGAAGGGAGGACAAAACAGGTGTATCAACGCCTTTACAAGTTGTCCTGTTTTGCCCTCCCTTTCACTTGTGAAAAATCAAAATAAACAAATCAACACATTTTAGAAGACTGTAACTCACGGACTACCAATTTAAAGTTTTTCAAGTGTTGGCACCTCTGAATCATCCTTGTGTCTCTTCTTCCTTTTCTTCTTCTCCTTGTCTTTTTGTTTCTTTTCCTTCTTCTGCCCCTCCTCTTCACCTTGTTCCCTGACGTCTGCCGCATGGGATGCTGGGAGTTCCACTTGGGAGTGAAACTGGTAAGACTGACTTTGCGCGTCGTAGTAATAGTAGACACCGGTGTTGGGATCATAATGGAGGTGGTTATTCTGAGGAGAGAAGGAAAGGGGCAAAATGACTAATAAACTGGTGGATGTAACAACCACTAAGTATCTGATACCTGGGTGAGCCCAGAAAAGAACAAGAAACAGTCATGCCTTCAACTATCAGAGTTATCAACCAAGAATAACAAACTCAGCCCTTACCGGATCATAGTACATGCCTGTGGTGTAGTCATAGTACATGCCGGATGTCTCGTCGTAAACAGTGCCTGTCTGGGAGAGCGCGGCTTCCGCTGTGGCACGAAGACTGTCTGCAAGGGACAGCCCTGTGGTGTCAACCTGCAGTCAACAGTGTAACACACATGTCAGTTCTTTCTATATAGCTATAGTCTCTACGATACTAACTATGCTGGCTATATATAGGAGAATATTTGCAGTGGGAGTTTGGCCGCCTTGGGGTTTGACTGTGCCTACCTCCCCGCGGCCGGACTCCCTTGGCCCATTTAATTCTCTTTTTTTCCGAATTCTACGATCCGTATTCCCGTAGAAAGGCCTGGTGGAGGCTAATATAGCTACCTACAGTCACTTCTATTTAAATATACTATTATAAAAGTTCATCTGTTTAAATTTCATCAGCTTGATTTTACTGTACCTGTATCTCACACAGTACACACTGACATCCCATGAAGGCTAATAACAAAAGTTATGCAAATAGAATATGCAAATAAGGGCACAATTTTTAAAAAATCACAAGAAAAATGAAAGGTACTAAGAAACAATAATTACTTACCTCATTTATGGTTGCTTCTGTATTGCCTTCAGAGTTTGGAAGTTGTTGAGAGGCTTCAACTGTGATGAATACAAGTGTAACCTGTATAGTCTGTGTTACAACACACTTGTGTAGTCTGTGTTACATCCCACATATGTAATCTGTGTTACAAAACACATGTTGATTTGTTGAACTTCTGTGCTACATCTTAACACACAAGCATGGAGATGACCCCTGACCTGCCCATTATGACCCCTGACCTGCCCATTATGACCCCTGACCTGCCCATTATGACCCCTGACCTGCCCATTATGACCCCTGACCTGCCCATGGTGCCAGCATGTCCTCTGTCTGGCAGGCTCTGTCCTCCACCTGTCTCCTCTTGTACCTGTGCAGCTCCTGGTTCAACATGTCCACCTGTACAGGTACAACATAGGGGTGTTAACACGTCCACCTGTACAGGTACACAACAGGGGTGTTAACATGTCCACCTGTACAGGTACAACATAGGGGTGTGACCCAGTGAGGCTTGTAATGTGGCTTCTTTGATGTGTGATGTCTACTGAGGAAGACCAGAGTGACTGGTCGAAAGCTCTAGGTGAGAGAACTTCTTTGTGTTTTAACTTGAAACAAACATCCTGACCTGCTTCCTGAGATCTTCGTTGTACATCTCGGCAGTCTCCAGTTGTCGCTGGCTCTTGGCGAGCTGCTTCCTGGCTGCCGTCAGGTCATCCCGGGTCGTCCGCAGATCCTCCTCGAGTGACTTCACTCGGACTTCTAGTTCTGCAGGCTGGACATCTGCAGCCTCCATCTACACACAGCAGCAACAGAAAAGACACAGATATCATCACGTTCGGTGTAATGTGCTGCCAGGTGCCGCCCTGCCGTGTGCCTACGAAGCCATAAAGTTATGCTGACTACAAATGTGTGGAAACACACACACACACACACCAAAAACAATACCTCCATTTTTCATGGAGGTAATAATGTATTACCCATTCATTTTACATCAATGACATCACATATAACGTTATATTACAAAGTAAATAAGTAACTTTCTCTTTTTCTCTGTCTCTTTATATGTATCTTCTCGTCGATTCTAACTTCTAACATTTACTGATTATGATAATTATAAACTTCTAGTTCCAAATCTACCTAACATGTAAATTTTCATAATTTTGGTTCTTTCCATGCCTCTTACCTTCCTTTACGGTGGATCCTAGGCGGAAAGATGCCCCTTTAACGACACCTGCAAAAGTAACAGAGCAAAAGTCAGCGTCGCAACTCCCTCCTACGCTACCATACACGGATAAATGTACAAATTCGCAAAGTTCGCCCAAAAGCAGGAACATTTTGTTTACGTCGTCCACCATGTTGGATTTGGAAAGTCTCGTCAGTTATCGCGAGACACATGAAAGGCGAACGAGAACGGGGAGGATGACGGTATAGCTATGGCGGCGCCCACTGATCGATTTTGCGTTAAATTTCCAACAACAACAATGAATTTCCTCTGTTATTAGACTGTGTGTGTGAGAAAGGCAGTGCAGACATGACGAGGTTTGCGAGAGGAGGAACGGGGAATAAGAAGAAGCCAGAAGAGGCGACGCCATGGAGCCAGCTGAAGCCGCGGCAGTCTGGCAAATCAGGGAAAAACAAGAACAGTCACCACAAAACTGTTCCAGTCGGAACAACTAGCTCTGCTTCGAATTCTGGCGGCCGCGTTGAGAAACGGCAGAAAAACAAGAACTCTGGACACGAAGGCCTGGATAAGGAGTTACAGGAAGTCTTGACCAAGGCGAAAAGGAGCGAAAAAAGGAGGTTAAAGAGAATCAAGAAGAAAACTTTGTCGAAGGTGATGTAAAATACTCTACTCTAAATGGGTACTCTAGGCAAGGGGGTTTAAATGGGCTCAACCCCCTGTCCGTTCCGAATTTGTTTGACCAAACCCCCATGTCCAGTCCAGGTGTTCAAATTCCCCCCTGTCCACAGGAGTTTCACCCCCCTGTCCAGTCCAGGTGTTTCACCCCCCTGTCCAGTCCAGGTGTTTCACCCCCCTGTCCAGTCCAGGTATTTAACCCCCCTGTCCAGTCCAGGTATTTAACCCCCCTGTCCAGTCCCCTGTCCAGGTATTGTTGCTGGTGTTGTCCCTGCTTTACGTCTATTTTTTCGCAGGTGTTTTACGATTGCTGGCAGCCGGGACATAATTTGCATGTCAGAGTGCCCACAGACAGATGGTGAATTATACAGCTGAGAACCTGAAGGCACCTACATGTACCTAATGATAACATAATTATGTACCTACAGGTGTGTTACCACTGTCGTCAGCCCGGACACGGCATGTCAGACTGAGAGTGCCCACAGATGGTAAATTATAGAGCTGCGACGGCACCTACAAAGTGACATGTACCTTATGATAACATAATGAATTCTGTACCTGCAGGTGTGTTACCACTGTCGGCAGCCAGGACACGGCATGTCAGAGTGTGACATAACCTGACTTGCCTGTATGTGTGGGTGTGGCCTGCAGGTGTTAATGCTGCTGCTGTCCCTACTTTACGTCTATTTTTCCTGCAGGTGTGTTACCACTGTCGGCAGCCAGGACACGGCATGTCAGAGTGTGACATAACCTGACTTGCCTGTATGTGTGGGTATGGCCTGCAGGTGTTATTGCTGCTGCTGTCCCTACTTTACGTCTATTTTTCCTGCAGGTGTGTTACCACTGTCGTGAGCCCGGACACGGCATGTTGGAGTGTCCACAGATGGTGAATTACATGTATACAGCTGAGAAGGCACCTACATGTACATGTACCAGGTCCTTATGATAACATAAATGTACCAGTACATGTGTGTTAGTGTTACCATTAATGTTGTCTGCAGGTGTGTTACCAGTGTCGTGAGCCCGGACACGGCATGTCGGAGTGCCCAGCGATGACGGCAGATGTAGAGCAGGGAACAGGCATCTGCTTCAGGTGTGGCTCCACCGAACACAAGTCTGCTAAATGTACTGCCAGGAACATTCCAGAACAAACAGGTAACATTACCACTAGTCCTCCTAATAATCTTGAAATTTTATTAACTTCAGTGCTCTACTCCACAGCTAAGAGTTTTCACATGTCAGTATTACGCCCAGCTAAATGTACCACCAGAAACATTACTTACTAATAACATCACAGTTCCCTATGCAAGAACCAAACGACTGCAGCAGTCTTTCCTGTATTGCGCCATCAGACTTTACAATAACTCACCTTCCATATTAACAGACTCTCTAAATTCTTTTTCTATGTGACAAATGGTACTCATCAATTCAGGGGGTAGTAGTTATTCTCCCCCTGCTGATGTACATTTGAATTAGTGCAATAAACTACTCTACAGATACTTTTGTCCATCCTCTATCACTAACTCTACTCTACCCTACTCTATATCTACTCTACTCTACTCTACTCTACAGGTACTTTTGTCCATCCTTTATCACTAACATTACTCTACTCTACTCTAACAGACTACTATCCTCCTCTTCTCAGAGAGTTTTTACATGTAAGTACAAAGATACAAATATTGTGTGATTGTTTTGAAGAATACAAAACACAAAGAAATGCAACCTTGAAAAGCAGTTACACATTATAATCAAATTGTTTTTTTATCTCAGGAAAAAGGGACCTCCCGTTTGCGAAGTGCTTCATCTGTGGGGAGAGCGGTCACCTGTCCAAGTCCTGTCCGGACAATCCTCGGGGCCTGTACCCAAACGGTGAGGCTGGCCTGTCTTTGTTATAATACATTATGTTTACCGAAGGAAAACATAGTAAAACATTGAACTTTATTCCAACACAAGGGTTACAGAGCGATCAAATTTTCGACGACCACTGTCACCTTCATCAGGATAATTAATGACCAATCACTTCACAACATGATCTCGCGAGAATTACGATTTACAAACACCTGATGAAGGCGACAGTGGCCGTCGAAAATTTGATCTCTGTGTAACCCTTGTGTTGGAATAAAGTTCAACATTTTACATGTACTATGATGGTTACTACCAAGTTGAACACAGACGAACTTTCATGATAAACGAAGGAAAACATTGTTTTTGCTCTGTTTCTTCCTCTTCTTCTTCTCGAAACAGTGACCTATGACCCGATCAATGACATGATTTGTTGATGTCTGTCACCATGGTGACTGGTGCTGCTAAGCCCAATTTACATTGGATTACTAGCAGCTGCACATGTGTTAATTACAAAACAAGTGACCGGTACAAATAAAAACAAGGGTAACTAAAGGAGGGGACACTACGGAACGTAAATAACTGAATCTGTTGGTGTAAGAGACAAGACAGTGCATTTAGTGTGTTAGTAGGACATATATACATATATACAAGACGTGTAGGGGCGACTCAATGCAGCAGGGTCCTCGCCAGTCCAGTTTTGAAGTGGGCGAGGACCCTGCCTCCGCTGCACCAGGCTCAAGTTCGTTCCACTCTTGGATGTACCAGGGAAGAACGAGAGCCTATAATAGTTGTTCCTACTGGCGATGGTCTGCAGCTTAGGAGCGTGGTTGGTGCGGTGGGAGCATCGAGCCGCCGAGACAACTCGAGATGCGTGCGGCATAGAAATGACATGTTGGGTTACATGTTGGGTTACATAATGTTGCAATTTCATGGTCTGCTCTGCTCCTGTCACCATATACTAGTACAGTGATCGAAATACCTGTCTGCAGTCTGCAATCTGCAGATAGATTTTCAAGATTGCAGAAGAAAAATTTATACAATCTGCAATTTTGCAGAAGGAAAAATAGGCTCCAGATTCAATAGTTTTCAATTTAGCAAACTAGAACTCGATTACAGGCAACACCCAAGGATAGACAATACTTAAGCTCCTGTTCTGAAACAACAGGAGCTTCTTCTCTAATTTGCATCATCCTTATCCTGACTTGAACTGAAATCCTAGTACATAATATTGTATATTCTAAACATAGCATTTACCGGTAATGATCATGGTAGGTTTTAATAAATGTTTTCTTAGGCAATTTCTACACTGTGAGTGCACTTTGTTTCACCCTAGCCTAGTGCCGGCGATTAGCTAATCACTGGACTGAACATAGCAGCGCATTCACAGCATGTCCAGTACAAATCAAACACAGTTAGATGTATTACTACATGTACGTATTACATAAACTGCAGCTCAAACTGAAACCTATAGCTAATATTATTTTAAACACAGCATCATGATGAAATATAGATAGTACATAGCTGTGGGTTTTAAAGGCAAGTTCTACACTGTACAATGTAAGTGCACTTTGTTTCTTAGACTTTGTTTCCAAAGAAAAGGTTTTACTTGTTTGCTTGTTTCTTTGCCATGACTCGTTCATATGCCATTTTAGCAGGGTCTTTGATGGATATGTGGACTTCAGGAAACCCAGGTAGCCGGTTGGTCTCCCTCTCCTGCCCCCTGGTGAAGTGGTGAATCACCTTCTGTCTGTCCTGCTGCTGGTTGTACAGGGTGGCCAGGAGGTAGTGAGCATGTGGCACATGGAGATCACACTCTGGTGCCAGCCTGAGGAGGTGTTCCAACTGTCTGATGGCTTCTGTCTCGGACACTTTCTTATACAGTTCGGCTGTGTAGAACATAGTCTCCAAATAGTCCTGTTTGTACATAAGGGAACTCGCCATGGCAGATAGTGCTTTGACTAGAGCATCCAGATCAGCTCTTGGTTGATCAGTCCCTTGTGATGTGGTTGATTTTGGCTGAGGGCTTGCCATCCATATGGCCCTCCCCAGGTAGCAGTAGATGTGGTGCAGGTGTTGGTACAGCCAGTCTCCTGGTCTGTGCTGTAGGATGGCATCAACCACCTGCTGCAGGGTCTGCACCCGGCTGTCTCCATATGGCAGCTGTAGGGCCGTCAGCAGCAGACAGGTGCTGTCAGTGGAGTCAGCTTGTAGCTGGGAGGTCATCAGCTGCTTCAGCTGGGCTTTGTTCAGGTTCAGCCATGACTGTCCATACAGTAATGTACTTGTGGTATCTGGTGTTACCGTGTAATGCAGCATGAATCCCTGCACCAAGGCCTTGACTCCCCCCAGGTCTGTGTACCCACTGCTGGTCAGGATTTCTGCTCCTTCCTCCCAGGACCTCCAGGCCTTGATGAAGCGTTGTACTGTTGGAGAGTCCTTGTGTTTCTGTAGCCTGGCTCTCCGCCTCTTGAGCGGCCCCTCTTCCACCTCTCCAGCAGAAGTGATGGACATGGCTGCTACAGAGGACACGTCTTCAGGCAGGCCTGAATCTCCCTCTGTAGTCACACTGGCCGGCATGGGTGGCACGGACTGGAAAGGGAAAGAAATAAAATAGTCATTTTTTTGGATTAAAAGTTATTTGGACTGTTTTCTAGATAAGATCTAGACAATAAACAAAATTTGATTTACATGCACAAATTTCTTTCCAGATACTTTTCTCACAAATAAACTTGAGAATAAGGAAGATACAAGTTAAGATTTACACTACACTGCACTACCCGGTAATGTATTGTAACACTGTGCCAAAAAAAAACTATTTTTGGAATAAGTAGTTGTCACTTAGAAAACGTTTGGCAGATATGCCTTTAATATGAACAAAACTAAAATCATTTAGTAGTAGTAGGAGTAGTAGTAGGAGAAGTAGTAGGAGTAGTAGCCATCATCCCAAATTGGCTACATGAATTGTTTATACCTGTTTCTCCATCCCTGCCCACTCCCATCTCTCTTCCTGCTCTGTCCCTGCTGCCTCCTCCTCTTCCTGTCCCTCTTCTTCAGCAAACCACCACCCCTCCAGCCCCACTTGGATCGGTCCGGTCCAGCCGATCCCCTGAAGTTCGTCCTCCAGCAGCAGCTGCAGACAGGTGCGGTCAGACCGCTTGTCGATTTTCTCATTGAAGCTGCGGAGGACCCAGTAGCCAGCCTGGAAAGAGAATTGATAAAATTATACCAGTGGAAAAACTGACAGCATTCGAACCGGCAAACTTACATTTGTAGCTTGCCAAAACATGCCATGTTGAAAAAAACTTTTGAATCTGTATTTCCCTATAGCACATGTTTCAACAAGAATTCGGAGATCTCATACCTCCATGAAATATATGAGTTTTTGTAAATTTGTTTTACACAGTACACTACAGTACAGAACAAAATAGCACAGGTTTTTGTTTTCAAACACACAGTAGCACCTTTGGCCTGAAATAGGTCAGGCTGTAATACATTTGGTCAACTGAACAAGTAGCCTATTCCAGAGGGAGAACCTCATTAATCAAACCGTAGCAGGCGCGCTGCGTGTTTTGTTGCATAACCTGCGCATCTGTTTTCCCTGTCTTGCAAAAAGTTACAAAAACCAGAAGTTTTGCTGCAGTACCAAGGTCAGCCACCAGGAGGCCCATATTTGACCTTGACCTTTGACATCCTAAGACCTACCAGCGTACCAAATATCACAATCCATAAAGGTGTTCTGAAGTTATGCTGACTACAAATGTGCGGAAACACACACACACACACACACACACACACACATACACACACACACACACACACATACACACACACAGACACACCAAAAACAATACTTCCATTTTTCATGGAGGTAATAATTATAACAAGAACAATCAAAGAGTAAAATGTGTAATATACCGGTATTGTGATTGCCTTACCAGTGTAAGAAACTTGACATGCACAAGTAGAGACCCCTCCTCAATGTTCTCTACTCGGATGTGCCGTTCTCTCTCCACCACCCTGCGGATGGCCTCCTCTGTCTGCTGCCTGTTGCCCAGGTAGAACCCTGCCAGGGTTGTCACTCCTGTAGCCACCCCTGCAGCCAGTCCAGTTCCCAGTACAACTGCGGGTGATTCTGAAACCTTGCTGGCTGCGAACGCAGCCGTAGCAAATGCTCCAGCCACAAGACCCCCAGCTACAAAGCCTCCAGCTGCAGCCGGACTCTCAATCCTGACCGTTGCACCACCAAAAGCACCTACAGACATCTGCAGAGCCGGCGGCTGCCCGACATTTGCAGCTGCTTGGTTTGCAGGTGGGACATTGTGGTACACCTGCCCAGCTGGTTGGGGGGGCATGGCGAAGCCTTGGTGTGGAAACAAGGCAGCCTGAGCCCCGTACCCTTGCTGTTCTGGGTGGAACTGCACTGGAGCAGCCTGCCGAGGGTTCTGTTGCATCTGCCATGGGCCCTGGTAGGCTTGTCCGGCAGCCTGGGGTGCTAGTTGACCCCCCTGTCCATGTAGATACTCCCCAGCCAGTCCAGGCTGCAGTTCTTCTTGTACATGTACCTCTATTTCAGCATCTGGTGGTGGCAGCTGGTCCTGAGCACCTCTGGGAGGTTGCCTTGGTGTTCCCTCAGCCATTTTTGTGTAATTTCTTATTAATCAGGAACCCTGATTACCTGACGTTTACAAGCTAAAGTTTTAGCTGCGTACCAAACTGTAAGAACTACAGTAACTGTACCTGTAGTTTGTTCCTTGACCAAAGTCCTTTTGCCCCACATACGGGACACCGTAGTTAATGTTTAACATGAACCCTCCAGATATGTGTACCTGGGCAGTTATAAACACTATGCCGTGTTCAAAATACCTGTCTGCAATCTGCAGATAGATTTAAATCATTTTCAAGATTGCAGAAGAAAAATTCATACAATCTGACGTCTCCAGGTTGATGTATTGTATTGTTGTAATGTACGTGTAAAATGTTTGTCTTGTCAGCAGGGCAAGCCCTTAATAATAGCCGCCTGGCTTGTTAGGCTGCCCTGGCTGTACAAATTGTCTTTTTACAGCCAAACAAATAAATGAAATAAATAAATGAATACAATCTGCAATTTTGCAGAAGGAAAAATAGTCTCCAGATTCAATAGTTTTCAGTGTAGCAAACTAGGGAAGGTTGTAGTATTGAGGCTTGTGTATTTGCAGAAAGTATTTCCAAATTGCAGAACAACATTTTGACTCTTCTGCAATATGGCAGAGCACTGAAAAAAGTATTTCGACCACTGCTAGTAGTAGTACATGTATGTAAATGTGTTTGGGTAAGAATTAACAGAGCAGATGTAGACCATGTCCGAAGGTAAACATTATGCATTTGCTTTGCAAATGTTACTTCTCTAGTTTACATGTGTATTTCAAGTACATGTAACAATTAAGGAAGTATATTTAAATCAAAGGACATGTACTAAGTACTACACACTATGTAAACAGTTACTGAGTTAGAAAAAAAGATCCATTTCTGTGCATAATGACATCCCCTATCAATACTGCACAACAAAATTTTTGAGTTTGTATATATACCTGTTTAAAGAAGAGGGAAGAAACATGTATAATTTAATCAATGTTTTTGTTACATGACATCCATCTGTACACAATACTCAATAGAGTAGTATAATACTTAGTATAGCATTGCAGAATTTTAGTGCCTATACTACAAGTAAAACTATATTACTGCGCTTAGCCCTCATAGGTATGACTGTGCAAATAACATTATTGTCATCAATCAAAGTACATTTAAGTACGGAAGTTTTCCATTTATGTCAATGTAATGAAAGTTTCAGGGAATTTCAGGTGGTTTATATCTACTTCTTCTGGACCATGTAAATGTATTTGTTCAGCCATGAACCTTCTGTCTGGTAATATCTAACTGTTGTTTTATTTGTACATGTAGGAGGCTGCTGTAAACATTGTGGGTCTGTGGAGCATCACCAGTGGCAGTGTCCCACCAACAAGTCTTTAGGTTAGGGCCATTATGTGTAGTACATGTATTTATTTATTTTGTGCCATTATGTAATTTTTATGGCTTTATAGCTCATCTCTGTCGGTGGAAGTCATTATGAAAGAAGTTTGAACTGCAACTTCCAACAAAGCCGTATATTCCATATTTTTGTGTTGCTGTATGACATTCATTTTGCCATTCTGATGTACTGTTTGATACATCAGCACACAAATGTAGCCCTTGATGTTGTAGCGAAATGGAAGACAGATGGACACAATGTAGCAGTACCTTGTCACAAGTCTGCAGTGAAGATTTGTCACGACCATATTTAGGCGTGACCTGACAGTGATGCAACTGTGTTCACAGGAGGGTCAGAGGTCATACAGGTCGGCACCATGGACAGCCACTCCAGCGCTGACCTGGAGGTCATCCCCAGGGCAAAGGTCAAGGGTCAACCCCCAACAAGAAAAGGACCCAAAATTGTCAAGTTTTAGCCTTATTTAATGAAAGGTTGCCTGGCACTGATGCAGCATTTCGGATGGACTCAGAATAACATCAATGGGGATTTATTATGTGTACAGAGAGTAGCCTCCTATGTGTACAGAGAGTAGGCCGGCTATGTTGTCTATATGCAATCAGAAAATAGCACATAAAAGCTCCCAAAGACCACGAAGACCCCCCAAAACCCCCAGTTTTTGGAATGCTATGGAGGCTATACAAAGAGCATGTTGGCAGAATGTACCACACCTGTGTGAAACCCTGATTTTTCACGGTTTTTGTTGGATGTTTGGTCCAGCAGAATTTTGCCTGTTGCAGAGGATATCTTTTCTGACATAATACAGTATTTGGAAATGACAGACGGGATGTTAACCTTATATACGCGAATACGACCTTATATGAGACGTTCTGCTGAAGTGCTATGCACAATACATTAAGGGTTTCGCGCAGGTGCAGTAGTTCTGCCGATGTACTTGAACAGAGTGGCAGCCATGTTGGACTAGACTATTTAATCTGACAGGGGAAAATGACACAATTGCAGCAACAAGTCAATGTAGTATTTTTTTTCAATTTTTGGAAGGTGTCCTTTAATTACAACGAAAAAACATGAATTGAGTATTTTGTACAACGGATGTCATTGATAATGATATATCCTGCTGATTATGATAACTGCAAATGTTCAGATCCAGCAATGGTGACCATGTTTAGTAACTTACATGTAGGCCACACCAACTTAATTTTATGGATGACATCTGCGCGCGCATTGATTTTCACCTGTTCTCCAAGAAAAAAAGACCACGCCCACCGAGGCTCTGGCCTGGCTCTAGGCCTGGGTAGTCCATGGTAGTTAGCGACAATACAGAGCTGGGCACCCAGGCTACCGAAGAACTCAGAGCATACGTACAGTGCCGATTCATAAATTCCGCAAAAAGCCAGCATGTGCCGGCTTGTCGTATATGTTGCTAGTATGTACTGCTGCAAATTCACAATACCAGCTTTGTATTCCTGTGGTTTAGTAGCATTTTTATTTTTGGCAGGATTTTTTTTATTCGCCCGCGCGAACTAGTTTGGGGGACTTCAGAGGATGTCATCCATAAAATTAAGACGGTGTGGCCTTACACTAAGTTACAGCATGGCATCTTCTCATCAACTGTTCAGAATGTGGCCATTTTGAAGAATGGAACCAGTAAAGGTACTGGCAATGGGAGTGTAGACATTTGGGACTCATAAAACGCTACAGTTGTATATTGTGCTACAGAAAAGTTACACCTTACGGTAAAATTGTTACATTTCACTCCAGACAGGAACATTATTTGTCCTTTAACTATGCAAGAAAATTGTACTCATTGTGAGTACTGTATTCATGATTGAAAATTATACAACTTGTTACACTGTATATTGGCTATCATGGCAGTGCAGGTGTGTGTGTGTGTGTGTACATGTGTCATACGTGCAGGGCTCGAAATTAACGGTGTCCCGATGGCCACTGACCACTAAAATTTAAGCCGGGACAACTGAAAAGACACTTTGGGACATTTTTGGGACAATAGGAAAATGTCAGAATGTCCGCCCTACTTTTGTTTTATCAGGCACATGTCCCGGCTTTTGACTCCGGAAAAGCCCCCAAAAATTTCCTGTGTACTCTGCAATTATAGCATGCTTTTGAGTCAGAATGATATAAAATTATTGTCGCAGCACTGTCCCAAAAATAAATTTCAATTGTCCCGAAGTGAGGATGAACTGTCCCAACCTGTTTGTCAGTAAGTATTGTCATGGGGTTATAAGACTTCAACTTGAAGTCAACTTTATTTTTCTTACGTTTTCTTACAATTTTGAGGCCTGACGTGTGTCGTACATATGGGAGTCATACATGGCCAGACATATCAACAGTTCTGTCCAATAAAATGATTTGTTGATGAAACATTAATTATGTTGTTATTAATCCTAATAACCTGTGGCTGGCATAACATAAGAAGTGGTCAGTGTTGGCAAAAGACCAACGTTACTCTGTATCTACTAGACATGTCTATTATAGTTTCATCAGGTTGGCAAGTCACTGAGTAAAGCTCTTTTTTACACAACCAAGTGTTTTATTCAGCTGACGTTTCAGTGACCGTCCGTCACCTTCCTCAGGACAATTTTACATTAGGGAATGCATCTGTAGCAGCGACACCTGTGCTGCATTGCAATGTGAACCAGTCAGAATTGCCCTGAGGAAGGTGACAGACGGTCACTGAAACGTCGGCTGTGAATAAAACGGTTGTGTAAAAAAGAGCTTCTTTACTACTAGTATCAAGACATGTAGACCAATGACTAGAGTTTGCCTTGGGTTTTCTTACACCAAGGATATAAACCGTGAATTTCTACAATATACATGTTCGTTCTTTCTACCTGTCCCATACAACAGAACAGTTACAACCTTTCCTTGGACAAACATGACAAAATCATCGACTTCAAACAGTGGCATTTTATCTATCATATATCAATAAAGTAGTGGATTTGAATTCCACTTGTAGAAAAAAAAAGACTCCTGCAAGCAGCAGCAAAATAGTTACAACATTTCCTATCAGTAAGTACTATTAGGCCACACTAATTAAATTTGATGATAAGAATTTTGGAGATAAAATGCCTATCAGAACAACTCTCACCAACTTGCTATTTTGCTTTACAACAAAGTTACAACCATTTTAGTGTCATTTCAACAAGTCATTTGTAGTATCCACTAGCTTTCGGTCCAGTCACTGTCAGGTGCAGTACGTTCTGCTGACGTGCTGGTTTGGGGAGACTGCCTGATTATGAGTTAGCCTGGTTTCGGACTACCCAAACACAAATCTGTAATGGTCAGATGTTTATACAATGCTGTGAAACTTTATTGCGTCAATTATGTCGTGTGAAATTCTGTGCTCAGGAATTCTCAGCAGCCTTCCAAAACCCACACCTACAGCTGCTGTACTGTCACAATCAGATAGGTGGTGTGGTGCAGGAAAATGTACCATAATGTTTAGATGACCAGCATACATTTTTATAAGTTATCTGCACACCAAAAATATGTTACAAAGAGCAAAAGAACAGCTTTTCATGATTCACCTGGTTTTATTCATTAAGTTGCATCATTTCATTTTATAATAATTCCATCACAAGTCAAGTGCCAGTTGTCATCTTTTGATATACAATGTACAGTGAGAACAAAGAGATATGTCCAACTTTATACTCCGTTTAAAACCACTTGGAAGGAATCGTTTTATAAGTAGAGAACAACGATTATTGGAATAAAAGCAATCAAGTAATGTGAAATGGAAGAGAAGCTTTTTTTACAGCTTGAAATGAAAGTCGTACAATCATGCATATTAAGCATGTTAACTTTGCAGTTTGTTAGTTCAAAATCGTGACTCCCACAACAATGTGAAATGATATGCAGACACACGGTACATGTACATATGGAATCCCTTAATATTTGTTACTGACAAAATCAACAAGTTGAAGCCAATACTAGGGTAGCAGCCAACAAAGTATAATAATCATTATATCACATCTCATTAACTAGGTATGCTTTATTTTGAATAACACAGCTTTCAATCTGCTCAGAAAAAGCTGGATTGAATTTGACATTTGCACCGTTTCTTACACCGAAAGTGGTGCTATTTGATACTGGAGGCTTTGTGGTACACAGTCATGTCTTTGTTCCTGTACACAACCAACCATTGGTTTGTTGCAACAGCCAACCACTGGTCAGTTGTAACAACCAACCACTGGTGTTGTAACAGCCAAACACTGGTGTTGTAACAGCCAACCACTGGTCAGTTGTAACAACCAACCACTGGACTGTTGTAACAGCAAACCACTGGTGCTGTAACAGCCAACCACTGTCAGTTGTAACAGCCAACCACTGGTGTTGTAACAGCCAACCACTGGTGTTGTAACAGCCAACCACTGGTGTTGTAACAGCCTACCACTGGTGGTGTAACAGCCAACCACTGGTGTTGTAACAGCCAACCACTGGTGTTGTAGCAACCAACCACTGGTGGTGTAACAGCCAATCACTGGGCAGTTGTAACAGCCAACCACTGGTCAGTTGTAACAGCCAATCACTGGTGTTGTAACAGCCAACCACTGGTATTGTAACAACCAACCAACCACTGGTGTTGTAACAAACAACCAACCACTGGTGTTGTAACAGCCAACCACTGGTGTTGTAACAGCCAACCACTGGTGTAACAGCCAACCACTGGTCAGTTGTAACAGCCAATCACTGGGCAGTTGTAACAGCCAACCACTGGTCTGTTGTAACAACCAATCACTGGTGTTGTAACAGCCAACCACTGGTGTTGTAACAGCCAACCACTGGTGTTGTAACAGCCAACCACTGGTTTGTTGTAACCCTGGAACATGGTTAGACTGCCATGTTTGTGGATACATGTACACACCTGGCTTACATAACTACTGAGTCACCCACATACATTTGTACACCGTAGCAGCATGCATGTTAAACATGGCACAGACATGAACATCAGCACAAGTCACCAGGAGGAAGTCCCTTAAGCCATGTCTTCTCGTTAAATCCAAAGTATGAAACTAAAATCCTGCTGAGCACTTAGTCAGGTCTAGTAGTGGACATGGAATATTGCAAGGATTGGTTCCACTTTCCCTATATAAAAGGGACAGGACAGTGCTCCGGCATAGTTCTCACTAGGCTATTTGAGCATAGGGGCCCCTATATATGCTGTCATTTCGACCCCTTACGCTGTGACTTAGCCCCCTATACTATCTTTCAACCAGTGTAGGGGTGTTTCATCTTTCAAAAAATCGAAATACAACTTCAGAATGAAGGGAAAACAAAATATGTCTCTCAATAAGCAAGAAATAGTGTCTCAGGGGGTTCTGAGTTACAAAATGTTTTGGGGAGATATTGCAACTGATGCAACTTGTGTCACAGAAAATTGCCCTTCTGTACCTGACCCCTACGCTGTGAAAAACTCCTGGTGAGAACCCTGGCTGTTAAATCAGACTAAAGCAGGCAGGAAACAGTTAATCGCTGGCTGAGTTAGAGTCTATATACAGATACAAAACAATTGCTAAAAATAGATATATCTTCCCTATCAATGTCTCTTGATTATGTATTCCGCAGTGGTTCGTTCCTTCGTTCAAACCTGCTCCACCTTTTACCATTGTACACAATGTAGAGATCACGGTTGGACCAATATGGCAGCTCAATATCATCTTACAATCCGTCCCCACTTTACAATGAACCATAGAAAAGGTGACAGGTCACTACATGACTGCTCCCAGCCTCTAACCTGCCGTGGGGGGGTGGGGGGTGACCTTGACCCCCGGGTTATCTAGAGTTACGTATCCTGTGGGTCCGCCCTTCCACTGCCATTGCACGGAGTAGCTTTGTAATATGATATCATCCCCCACACACACGTACACCCCACCAGCCACCGCAGCCCTGTCCCGGGGAAAAGTGTCGGGTTACAGACGACCTTCAGCAGGGGGAGGTCAGCATGAGAGAGTTGGAGTTGAGCACAGGGTGCAGCAGTCTGACTGCGCTGCCGGCCGAGATGATGGGCAGCTGGTTGTCGCGGTGATAGCTGATCAGGTGACTCACACTGTCAAACGTCCTGTCCTTGGTTCTCACCTGCGGAGACAAGAGGTCATTAGCCTAGACACAAACAAGCTCGTTGACCTAGACACTAAAGAGAAAGCTTTGTTTGTTTGTTTGTTTGTTTGTTTGCTTGTTTGTTTGTTTGTTTTGCATAACCGTTAAACTGCCTTTAGGCGCAACACACCAGTATTGTACATGTAAGTACAAGCTGCTTAAGACCAGACTGTAAGTTTGAACCACTCACACCGGGAAGGACCCCTACTCTTTTCGATAAGTGTGGTGGGTTCTTTAACGTGTGTGGGGTGTGGCTCTCCCCAAACACGGGATCTCCATCAATCAATCAATCAATACCCTTTATTTATACTGGAAATGCCCTGTCGGCCTTAGCTGCTCTTCCCAGAGGTCCAGTTGAGGAGGGGGGTGGTCACGGGAACACAATAAATAAGTAAATAAAATTTAAATTAATACAAAAATAAATGACTAAATACCTAACATAATAATCACATCTTGTCCAAAATCACAGTCCGCAAATCAGTCCGCAAATCAAATTTCTCGACTACCGTATTCTTTGTTTGAAAGTTCTCACTGATGGAGCACACTGTGCATCCTCTGGTATGCTGTTCCACATGATAGCCCAAGACACAGCCAGAGATCTCTGCATACAATACACGTACTAATTACAGAAAGGTTCTATGACTCACCACGCCCTGTGGGTTTGATTGACAGTTTGAGTGACAGTTTGATTGACAGGTTGATTGACAGGTGCTACTCACCACGCCCTGTGGGTCCACCAGCAGCAGGTGCTTTACCCGTCCCTCCTGCATGCCGCTCAGCACGTACTGGCCTTGTGACGTCGTGCTCTCTCGAACCTGGAAAACATGTTGGGATGAGGTCAAACACTCCAGCTCAGAGTTCAGACACTCCGGGTCAGAGTTCAGATGCTGCAGGTAAGGGTTCAGACACTACAGGTCAGGGTTCATTCACTCTTGGTCAGGGTTTATTTACTCTGGGTCAGGGTTCATTCAATCCAAGTCAGGGTTCATTTACTCTGGGTCAGAGTTCAGACATTCCAGGTCAGGGTTCAGACACTCCAGGTCAGGTCAAGGTTCAAACACACCAGGTTAGGTCAGGGTCCAGACACTCCAGGTCAGGGTTCAGACACTTCAGGTCAGGGTCAAGTGTAAAGCATTAAAAACTGTAGAAAACAAACGTTTCCTACCAAAAAGTCTCCATCTTCTTCCAGGAGTTCCTCTGCCTGTTTCCTGGTCATGGGCCCGTGGAACCACTCCTCTTCGTACAGGGGGTGGGGGGGCGAGACGGGGTCGGGCTGCATACCTGCATCAAACGGTCCTGTGGGGAGACAACATCACACTATACATCAAACTACATCACTCTACACATAACACTACATCTCAGTAACCACTGTTCCTCATACAGGGGGTGAGACGGGGTCGGGCTGCATCCCTGCATCAAACAGACCTGAGTGTGTGTGTGTGCATGTGTGCATGTGTGTGTGTAGTACATGTACATGTGTTAAACGGGTCCTGTGGCAGCGGCAGTGGGGGCCTCTGTGGCAGCTGTGCGTTTGAGTGTGTGTGTGTGTGCGTGTGCGTGCGTGCATGTGTGTGTGTGCGCGCGCGCGCGTGCGTGCGTGCATGTGTGTTTAGACGTACCCATGTTAAATTGTCATTGTTCATTGTCATTGTCATTGTCATTGTCATTGTCATTGTTAAATGTGGCCATGTGGCAGCAGGGGCCTCTGCGGCGGCGGCTGTATGTGTGTGTGTGTGTGCGTGCGTGTGTGTTCAGACGTACCCATGTTAAAGGGATCCTGTGGCAGCGGCAGTGGGGGCCTGTGCTGCGGCGGCTGTGGCGGCTGTGCGCCCATCGGAGCTGCCTCCAGCGGCCGGTTCTCCAGCGGCCGGTTCTCCAGCGCCCGATTTTCCAGCCGGCTGTTGTCGTACGTGGGGTCGTCAAACAGGCTGACCTCTGACCTGGGCGGGACGGCCTCGGGCGGCAGGTTGTTGCCGTGGGAGACGGGCGGGGCTGGCAATCCGCCACGGCCTGTAACATACATGGAGGTGGGGGGTCAAGTTACATGTATTGCTGCTGGGGACAACAGACAGGTTGAGTCAACTTTAATGTAATTGTCAGCCTTAATTCTTGAAAGAAGACTTTCACATGGTCTAGCACACATTCATACATAATATACAAGGTGGTGACACGAATCTTGCTCTGTCCTGCCACTTGCAACACCATAGGGTGGCTGCTACAGCACCAGTTTTGCTTGGTCTTACCTTCATGTAGAGGGTTGTCGTACACAGGTGCCGTTGGCGTCTCTGCGCTGAAATCTATCAGGTTCTCGGCGCCGGCCTTGTTATCGTAGGTGGGGCCTCTCCTGGGGGCATCCTTTACGGAACTGTACACCCCGTCGCTGGCCTGCACGCCCGAGGGGGGGGACTGATAGTGTCCCAGAGGGGGTCCTGCGGGAAGGGGGGGCGGCATACCCCCTGTAGGGGGCAGCTTCCCCGGAATCTCGTTGTAATACTCGGGATCATCTCCCCAGGCTGACTCCCCCTCTTCGAAAATGGGATCTTCCAATCTAGAAGCAGGTGCATGAGGGCACATGTCAGAGGTTAAAGTTCAAGAAAATCTGCACTCTGACCTGCTGTCAAGCCCTGACAGCTACACGCTTTATCATAAACTTTAGAATGAAAGCTGTATGACTGCACTACTACACTCTATCGCACACACTATCACACATTCTAACACTATGCTACACTCATGCTGACACACTGCCGAATGTCTGCAGTGTAAGACTGCAGTCCTCAGCAGGTCTAAATGTTCTGCCGTGGGATCTCTTCTCCCCGCTCAGGTAGAAATGAGAGCCTAGCTTCAGTTAGGGACGTTTTCTTGGATGGCAAGTAAAGCCGCAGGTCCCGTGTTTGGGGAAAGCCAAACCTTGAGCATGTTAAAAAATACACCTGTCCACACATACATGTATGTCATTGAATTTTTCTTGGTTCTATACCCAGATTGAGTGGAACCAGACTAGCCTGTAGAAACCTGTCATACTTTACAATACAGTTACTCAAGCAACTGGATATGATTTTGGAAACGGTCAGTCGTTTCAGGTAGCATGCACTAGCTTTCGTCATTGACACTGGAGACTTGTCAGAAAGGCAGGTTTATAAGTTTTTATGCAAGGCAACTTTTGAAAAAAAAAAGGAAATAAAAGATAGACAAGTCAAGGCAAGGATGATGCAAATACTGCTGTATACCGTCAACACAGCACAGTATCGACGAATACGTAGTATTACGGAAGAAAATGACCATGATAGGAGCTACTAAGGGCTATCTGCCTTCTGGCTCCTGATTTGGTAAGTTCAGGTAAATTCAGGACTGGTATACATACCTGTCTGGAGCTGACACTGCCTTGGGCGGGTTCTTCAGGAAGTCCTTAAATCTGAGCTCAAAGGCCTGCCCGATGGTGGTGATGACATCCTGGGCCAGGCCGCCGGGGCAGTGCAGAACATGGCACGCTGCGGAACAGCACAAGCTCAAGGTCAACACAGCACAGAACAAGCACAAGGCAGCATGGAATAGCACAAGCTAAAGGTCAACACAGCACAGAACACACAAGCTCAAGGTCAATGCAGCACGCCGGGGCAGTGCAGAACATGGCACGCTGAGGAACAGCACTCAAGGTCAACATGGCATGGAACAGCACAAGGTCAATGCAGCATGGACAGCACAAGCTCAAGGTCAACACAGCACAGAACAGCACAAAGTCAGGGTCAACACAGCACAGAACAATCTCAATGGCATGCTGCAAGGTGAACAGTCACCTTCTTACGGAGGACAGCAGCACAATTATAAATTATAGGGTGTATAATGGAATTATTCAAAACATACTACAAAAACAACTTACCAAAACTAGCTAAAATTTACAGAGTGTGTAAGGCCTACAGGATTTGACTACAACAGTTATTCATAACTAAAAGCAGGTTTGAGAGGATGAGTTTAAGCTGAGGTTTGATGGACAGGAAAGCTATGAGAGTAGTAAGGTAGCCTCACCTCTGGAGTTGACAGGATCCTTTGCTACATACGCCACATAGTCTTGGGTCTCCTGCAGGGGAACATGTTTGTTGTCAACACTGGAAGCTTTTAGAGGTGACTTTTGCAAAGCAACGTTCTGCATCATGTTTACCTTCACATGGTCTAACCCTACAAACTTGTGCTCTGTTTATTCCTTAACTCGTATATATGGTGACACGAGCCCAACTCAATCCTGCCACTTTCTACATATTATGTATTCAAATACAACAATGTCTGCTACAGCACCAGTTACCATGGTGACAACCATCTGGTCCAGGTCGTTGACCTTATTTGTTTGAAGAACACAAAATCTTCCTCAAATATTGTTTTGCTTTAATTTGCAAATTACAGTAAACAGAATAACCACTCCGATTGTTGAATTAATAGTGCATAAAAACAGTCTAAGTTACTCTGACCTAAATATCTTTTGGCATTTTTGGACCAGTTTTAAATTTACCGTTTAGAATGTCATACCCTAAAATTGTCTTATTACATAGATAATTGAGTGTGTAACGCCCAAAAGAACAGATATTTGTGGCTACTGCAGTGTGCAAAATACCTGGTTGTCCAGTTGCCCCGGGCAACCAAATTTTACTTGGGGCAACCTATTTTTGAACCTAGGTGGCCCAGTGTGCTACCAGAATTTTAAGAATGCCCCCCCCCCCCCAATCTACTTGGCTTGCACCACTGTATCCGGCAGATGCTTTTTAATTTTAGGTATTAAGGGCTATTACTATTAACAGTTGACTAAAGGCTTAGTTCGAAATATTGTCAAAGGCTTATGTATGTAACATTACTTAATTTGAGGAAAGTAGTAACTTATAGGTGGGGCAACCCAAAATTCTGATGGGCAACCTAATTTTTGCCGTAGGGCAACCTGGTTCAAAAAAGCATTTTGTACACTGATACTGAGAAGTCGGGAGATTTTGCATGGCTGATGGCAGCCGGCCAGATGCAGGTCTCCTGACCAAGTCTGAGGTGAATGGGAACAGGAAGAAAGCCAGAAATCATCCAGCATGTAATTTGTAAAAATCATCACCCAAAAATTATAGCGCTAAAATTATTACACAAAAATCATCATGCAAAAATTATCACACAAATATCGTGAAAAAATTATTAAACAAAAATTATCATGCAAAAACTATTACACAAAAATTATAATGCAAAAATTATCACACAAAAATCATCATGCAAAAAATATTACACAAAAATCGCCAAAAAATTATTATGCAAAAATTATCATGAAAAATTATCACACAGAAATTATCACGAAAAATTCTTACACAAAAATTATCATGTAAAAATTATCACACAAAAATTAACACCCAAAAATCATCCAACATAAAAATTATCCATCAGGCAAAAATCAATGGGTGTGAGACCAGCCAAGCTGCACCGGAAGTCTTACTGGGGCCTACATGGGGTTTATACATGCAGCTGTGCACTCTTACTGGGGCCTGTATGGGGTCTATACACGCAGCTATGCACTCTTACTGGGGCCTGTATGGGGTTTATACACGCAGCTGTGCACTCTTACTGGGGCCTGCATGGGGTTTATACACGCAGCTATGCACTCTTACTGGGGCCTGCATGGGGTTTATACATGCAGCTGTGCACTCTTACTGGGGCCTGCATGGGGTTTACACATGCAGCTGTGCACTCTTACTGGGGCCTGTATGGGGTTTATACATGCAGCTTTGCACTCTTACTGGGGCCTGTATGGGGTTTATACATGCAGCTGTGCACTCTTACTGGGGCCTGCATGGGGTTTATACACGCAGCTGTGCACTCTTACTGGGGCCTGCATGGGGTTTCTACATGCAGCTGTGCACTCTTACTGGGGCCTGCATGGGGTTTCTACATGCAGCTGTGCACAGTTAAAGTCTTACTGGGGCCTGCATGGGGTTTATACATAAACATGTACATACAACTGTGCACAGGGAGTCTTAGGGGGTCTGCATGGGGTTTATACATGCAGCTATACATACAATGCAGCAGGAAGTCTTACTGCAAGCCTAGGGCTGCTCATCTCTGTGGTAGACTTAGAGTTGTTTCTGACTATTGTTTACCTGCGGCAGATGTCTAACCTTCATCTACATTGGAACTAAGTATTGAAGTTCCATATACATGTACATCTTTATTCATACAAGACAGGCTTTTTATTTGTTTGTTTGTTTGTTTGTTTGTTTGTTTGTTTGTTTGTTTAGAAACTGTACTCACAGGGTCCCCGCCTGATGCGAATGAGATGGACTGCATGTGATGATTCGCAATGACCTGAGGGGGAGAATACAAATTATATGAAATACCTTTTTTGTACAGTCATGCCACAATGGGCTAGGTACAGGTCAAGACTTAACAGACACATAACAAATGTATATAGAAAAGTGGAGACAAAAGATACACCACTTGACTTAGACATAGTTTACATACACAGGAAACATACAAGGATACTATACTAGGCTAATACAAAGTGTTCTACATTGTAGTTACTGAGATAATACAGAGTAGTCAACTTCTTCTCGCTTTTTTGTACAATGGAAAATGTGGGAACAGATCATGTTTGTGAAACAGGTTTACAGCAACTATGAGTAACTCCCTTGCTGGGTATAATATGACATGTTTTGATGTACTTCCCCCAGAGTTCTGGACCAGGTGGAAAAGTTCTTGTAACACAGAATCCCACTGACTCAAACCAAACTAAGCTTCAGTAAAAGGAAAGACAGACAGACACAACAAACCAAAGTAAGCTTACAGAAAAGGGAAGACATCAAAACTAAGCTTCAGTAAAGGGACAGACAGACACAACAAACCAAACTAATAAGCTTTACTAAAAGGAAAGACTCAGACATGGGATCAACAGTATGTCTCCCTGCAGCTGTCACAGTTCCCTACAAGTGTAAACCTGACACCTGGCTATGGGCTTATGTTATTGTTACTGTAGACAATGTCATGTAAGTATAACTGTCTGAGACAGGACCAGTCGGCACTTATGCACAACCCAGTACAGAGAACATAAAACAACTGCACTTCACCCCCCCCCCAATACACACTCACACTCTGCATAACCCAATAGAGAGATGGGATCATAGACAACTGCACTTCTCTAATCTCCAAGCAGATCCCTTCCGGTGGCAAGACAGTATCCATTAGCCAGAGGAGCTTTTATCCATTTAATTTAGCCAGAGGAGTTTTGCCGGCCACATTCTCCCCAAATGTACCCCTCCAACTGTACCCCCCTCAACTGTACCTCCTCAACTGTACCCCCCTACTGTACCCCCCTTACCTCTCCAGAGTCCATGATGAGCAGGTTGAGAGCCACCGTTGTGATGGTCAGGTTGATGTTGGAGTTGGAGAACTGTAGATTTGGGCTGGCTCCCAGGATCTTCGTCAGGTCTTTGCTCACCTGGACGTGTTTTTAATTAACGACATCGTCAGTTTAAGGTAACACAATCAAGACTAGTCTGTGCAAGGTCAACTAATCTTCTATATTAATCATGATTCAAATCCAACCCCCTTCGTGGCCAGGAAAAAAGTCCTATTTACCAACATGTACTGCTTTGCAAGTAAGTGGTTATAAGTTTAAGTGCTCTTTGTGACTTCTTTGTCACTCTCCTATTATATATACATTGTTCTATCACCCTATTGTACAAATGTGCAATATAACTAGTGACTGTTGTTTCTAGTGCAATCTCAAAGCTTATCAGGCGTGTAGATTTAGATCCCTTCAACATGAAGTATAGTACTCAATTGGTTAAAGCGACCAATAACCTACTAGCTGTCCTTGGTTTAACAGACAGCATCTAGAATCTATTATTGGTCGCTTTTAAATTAACAGTTCTGCACTTCGTTCTACACCGGTACCGTGATGCAAGTTTAGCAACCAATATGCTACATGAAGATGCTATCTTCAGTGTCAGTTTTCAATGAAGTACAGAAAGCAACAGTTAATGTATGTAAGATTCCATCATGGTAAATGTTAGTAAATACCTTTCTTTTCCTGTTTCCGATCTTGATGCCGACAGACTCACATACCCTACAGATAGCTTCCCTGTGGACAGACATGAACATTGGCATCACAAAGCAGTTTCTTACATTTACTTTGTAATTATGAAGAACATGAACATTTCCATCTTGTCATTGACAAGCATTCTTTTTACAACATTTAATAGTAAAAAGAGTATACTCATCAATACTGAATGGAAAAGTAACAAGTTAAACTTTAAAGCAATTGTACTTGTATGAATACACATGTAATAAGATGAGAAAGGGTGACTTACCTGGTGACTTGTGTTCTTGTCTCAAAGTGTAACGTTCTCATGGACTGCTTGATTTCCATACAGCCCATATACTGTACATAGAGGGAGAGATACATACTTTAGATACATGTGTGTACACCATAATATACATGTACTGTACAGGGGGAGATACAGACTTTAGATACATGTACATGTGTGTACACCATATATTGAATACAGAGGGAGATACAAGCTTAGATACATGTGTGTACACCATATACTGTACACGGGGAGATACAGACTTTAGATAATCATTATACTTAGTACTATTTACTGTATACTGTACATAAACCTAAAACATTCATCTGTAAGATATTAAGGAGAGGTACAATCAGCATGGAGGGAAATCGTCGGTGGCCTATGCTCCACACGGGGCCAAGGGCCCAGGTAAGGTAAGGTACAATCAGCTACCTAATTATAATTATACAATGCACCTAGTATTTCATTAGAAATAGTGACTATTATTTCTACATGAACTGTTGGTGGATGGCTTTTTAAAAGTTGGATACTGTAAAGTGTGGTAATTTGTGCCAGCGGTGGATTGCCCGGTGCTCAAATGTTCTCAGTTCCATGAAGGCTGGCGTCTCTCCTGACCTGGTTCCACCGGGGCGGTACTTCCGGCGGCCGGAAGCCGGTTTAATTGGGCCGGTCCCGCGTGACAGTTTATGGGTGGGCTGGTGGAGCGATCCGGCCATATTCAGCCCACGTAACACTTAACTACACCCGGAAACTTTACTGCCACACTGCCCTTTCAACTCTCACAGAAAACACAGCTACAGTCTTTCTACCATTTCTTCCTACAAATATCATTGATTACAGAAGAGGTTCATCAGTCACGTAAGATTAACAGTTAGTAGGATATTCATTGATCAGTGACTGATCAATGAATATTCTACTATAATTTTTCTTCCATTTTTAAACAGTCATAATTTTATGTAGCAACCTTAAAATCATTGAAACCTACATAGTTTCCATGTAAGTCAGCTCAATTAGAACTCGTACGGTGAACCAGACACTCTTCAAGATATTTCAGGACAGGAAGGAGTAGGCGTTTACCATGGTGATAAATCTGGTTACCATGGCAATAGATCTGGTTACCATGGCGATAGATCTGCCACGTGAGAACCCCTCCCACACAGGGTGACTGCTGGAAGCTCCCAGAGATGGGAGAATGATCCTGCCTCACTTCAGCTAAATACTTCTGCACGGTTCTAAGGCCAAACCAATTTAATTTCTTGGTTAACAGATTTTCTACAAAAATAATGGAGCGGGCGGGTGAAAAAAAATGGGCCTAGGCATCCTATTATGGCCCAAAATGGTACGATTCACATCACCTCCAACACTTAGTACTTAGTACTGGAGCCATGTAGTCAACACACCAGGCTGGTTCAAAATTCAAACAAAGCATTTTGAACTTTTAATGATACCACTGCATTGAAAGATAGAATACCTGTAACAAGTAGGAAGAAAAGGACTGTTTTCAACTGTTCAGGGCAAAATATGAGCATTTTGCAGTTGATTCTACATTTTTTTTTTTCAAATCAGAAAGAAATGAATCGGCGAATTCGTTAACGAAGAAATTAAATTGGTGTGGCCTAAGGATAGAGTTTATACATGCGGCCTGCATGTATTACCATTAAACTGCCCTCGTAAGCATAAAATTGTATTTGAAGGACCTTAGGCCTCACAACTATGTCACGATATTGTCATGTGTAGAAGAGCATGTATTTTAGTGTAGGAATATGAAAAAATTTATAATAATTCATGACTCTACTCTACGTCTGTCATGATATGACCCATGGCTGGCAGGGTACCCATTGTATTGCGATGTTTGCAATTCTAATAAATAAATAAATAAGTAAGGCCACACCAGTTTAATTTCTTGGTTAACGGATTTTTCTAGAAAAATTATGTAGAGGGCGGGAGAAAAAAAACAAACAGGCCAAGGCATCCTATTATGGTCCAAAATGGTACAATAGGAGCCATGAAGTCAACACACCAGGATGGTTCAAAATTTAAACTTTTAATGATGATAATTGCATTGAAAAATGGGATAACTGTAACAACTAGGATGAAAAGGACTGTTTTTAACTGTTCAGAGCATTTTGCAGTTGATTCTGAATTTTTATTTTTATTTCCAAATCAGAAAAAAATGAAGCGGGCGAATCCGTTAACCAAGAAATTAAATTGGTGTGGCCTAAGTAATAAATAAGCATAAAGGACGGGCTATGGCTGTACCACATATTCAGTCTGACACAGTTCCACTCTGAGTGGTTTGTCCTGATTTCTGATCTGGTTTCATTCACAACCACTTCATTCACATCACCTCCAACACTTACATGTAGTACTTCACCTGAATACATAATACATGAGTACCTGTGGGCCTATAATGTCATACATGAATGGGCTTAGGACAGACCATCCACGTTTTCCTATCACAGATAAGTAAAATTAGTGAATCAACAGATGAAGGTTAAGGGCAGCAAAATAATTATAATGCAAACTGACACTCAACATGCAAAGATAAAACCAAAGAGAATTTCGAGAACAGCCCAGACATTTTAAGTAGTAAGTTATTTTCAGTCTAAAATCAATATTATACGAAAACCTAAATTGCCTTTAAGTTGGTAACTAAAATCATTTCTTGCATCAAATATATGAACCCACAGACCCTCAGACACACACACACACATACACAAGCACATGTGCATGCACACACACACACACACACACACACACACAAACACACATACACACACACACACCTTAAACAATAGTTCACTCCATCAGGGTAACATACATATTCAGACCAACAGATCTAGATCAACTAAACATTGCCATTTTGCTTGGTGACATGTTAAAGTAATTTGAAAATAACATTTATGTTACAGTGGCAAAGGATTCAGCCTTGTTGCTGCAGCATAATTATGTAACTGGCAGAGGATTCAGCCAGTGTTCTCCACAGGCCTTTTGAGCATAGGGGCCCCCTATGCTGTAATTTAGACCCCTATGTTGTCTTTTAACCAGCATAGGGGTGACTACATGTTGCTCCGGCCTGTGCAGGCTGAGTTGTGGAATATGTGAGAACCCTGTGAGTGCATGTTGCTGGCCTGTGCAGACTGAGGAGTTGTGGAATATGTGAGAACCCTGTGAGTGCATGTTGCTGGCCCATGCAGGCTGAGTTGTGGAATATGTGACAACCCTGTGAGTGCATGTTGCTGGCCCATGCAGGCTGAGTTGTGGAATATGTGAGAACCCTGTGAGTGCATGTTGCTGGCCCATGCAGGCTGAGTTGTGGAATATGTGAGAACCCTGTGAGTGCATGTTGCAGGCCTGTGCAGACTGAGGAGTTGTGGAATATGTGAGAACCCTGTGAGTGCATGTTGCAGGCCTGTGCAGGCCGAGGAGTTGTGGAATATGCACGGTTATTCACCTGCAGGTAATGGCAGCAGGAAATGAATCGCACCGGGGGAAGGGCTGCTGGAATACTAAGCAACGTGGGCTGCTCCAGCCCGTTTTTTGCATGCACTAGTCAGGGCTGGAACTTGAATCAAAAAGGCAATATGAAGTGTACCCCTGGCCACTAATCCCAATACATGTATGTTTCCAAATCTTGTCAGTTTGTAATTATTATATTATAGCACATTCCAGTTTTTGAAGTAAGAGATAAGAGTTGAAGGTTCGTAGGCCAAACTGGTTGCTTTTGACGATACATTTGTACCTGAATGATGTTACTGTAACAGTAGTGTTTACCTAAAAGAAAAGTAAAAGAATGAGATTTGACAGAACTGGGCATCGATCACTTAAACAGCCATTCCCCAAAACCAGGGTTGGAAATACTGGGTGCATGTGAACCTTAGTGCACCCAAATTTGGAGCTGTGCACCCAATTTTTTCTGTGGGTGCACCGGTATTTTTTACATAGCAAATGTATGATAGTATACAGTATATTCTTGGCATCTAAGTGTCAGAAAAATAATAAGATCTAGTACTACTTGCCATAAGATTTTGAAGTTAGCTCCCATTTTGGATTCAAGCCCAGAAGAGGAGCAGTAAGATCTCTAATTATGTTTTGTTTTATAAGGTGCACCCCAATTTTGTGCACCTAATTTTTTTAGGTTAGGTGCACCTATTTCCGAAAAAAATTTTGAGTCCTGACTTGAAAGGCAGCTGATGGACTGTGCTGGCCTGTTTTTTTTATGCTTGGATCGACCTCTAGCCTCCAAACTACAAGTATATCACAATCTCTCTCTCTCTCTCGGCTTGGCTTCATTATATATCACAATATTGTTATGTTAAATACATGCAATTTAAAACTGCTCCATGATGATAACTATAGATATAATGTTATCATGTTGATCTGTGGCAAAAGTTTTATATGTTTAAGAGAGGCAATTTGTTCTGCACGTCTACATTTATTTGTTTTTGTAATATGTAAGAAAGCAGAAAATAAACTTAAGGTAACATTTGCATTTAGCAAATGCATAATGTTTACCTTTGTACATGGTCTGCTCAGTTAATTCTTACTCAAATACATTATATATGTCCTAGATTATTTTGTGGAGTAGAAATCCCTCTACATTAGTACATACTAGCCAATAGTGCAGGGAGCTTTTAAAATTATGTTCAAAACATGTTCTCTGACCTTGGTGCTGAACTCCTGGCTGGTCAGAGGTAGTGGTTAAACCCAACCCTGGCCTTGCACTTTGTTGTAATTATTAGTACATATTAATAATCAGATAAATTACAGGTTTGAAAATAAGAGTGCTCTTATATGATTCCTTTTTGTATATAATTCCTTTCTGTAAAAAATCTTCCAATATTTACCGACAGTAAAAGAAAAAATAAAAATAAGGCACAACTTTTAATGTCAGCCTGTCAGAGGAAAGCCATTGTAAGCAATTGGTATTCGAGCTAACTCATGGAGACAGTGCACTAAGGTCTGTTGAGCTGTACCAGTACACACCTAAAAACATACCTGTACACACCTAAAAACATACCTGTACACACCTAAAAACATACCTGTACACACCTAAAAACATACCTGTACACACCTGACATACCTGCACACACCTGACATACCTGTACACACCTGTACACACCTGACATACCTGCACACACCTGACATACCTGCACACACCTGACATACCTGTACACACCTGACATACCTGTACACACCTGACATACCTGTACACACCTGACATACCTGTACACACCTGACATCACACCTGACACACCTGTACACACCTGACATACCTGTACACACATGACATCATACCTGTACACACCTGACATACCTGTACACACCTGACATACCTGTACACACCTGACATCATACCTGTACACACCTGACATACATGTACCTCGCACACCTGACATACCTGTACACACCTGACATCATACCTGTACACACCAGACATCCCTGTACACACCTGACATACCTGCACACACCTGACATCACACCTGACACACCTGTACACACCTGACAAACCTGTACACACCTGACATACCTGTACACACCTGACATACCTGTACACACCTGTACACACCTGTACACACCTGACATCATACCTGTACACACCTGACATCATACCTGTACACACCTGACATCATACCTGTACACGCCTGACACACCTGTACACACCTGATATCATACCTGTACACACCTGACATACCTGTACACACCTGACATCATACCTGTACACACCTGACATCATACCTGTACACACCTGACATCATACCTGTACACACCTGACATACCTGTACACACCAGACATACCTGTACACACCTGACATACCTGTACACACCAGACATACCTGTACACACCTGCCATACCTGTACACACCTGACACACCTGTACACACCTGACATACCTGTACACAAGGCAGTTATACCGGCTATACAGATACAGAAGCTGGTGTGTTACGCCGAAGAGCGGTTATACCGGCTATACAGATACAGAAGCTGGTGTGTTATGCCGAAGGGTGGTTATACCGGCTATACAGATACAGAAGCTGGTGTGTTACGCCGAAGGGCAGTTATACCAGCTATACAGATACAGAAGCTGGTGTGTTGCGCCGAAAGGCGGTTATACTGGCTATACAGATACAGAAGCTGGTGTGTTACGCCGAAAGGCGGTTATACCGGCTATACAGATACAACCCTAGGTTATACAGGATATACAGAATATATGATACAGATATAAGACATCTCACCTTGACCCCGTAGCAGACGCCTCCCTCCTTGAGCGTCTCGTCGTTGTGGAGCCACCCTCGCGTCGGCTTGTTGATGAAGCTGCCGGAGCTGGTCCAGCCGGGCGCCTGCTGGGTGATGGGCGGCTTGTTCTTGTTGCGCAGCTTCTGGATGACTCCGGCCATGGCTGCAAGGGTGGGATGTTTAAAGAACGGTTTACTCTTTCCCGCAGGCGCGGCCGTTACGGCGGCGGGAGGGTCGGGAATCTTAGCGGCGGGTTTTTTCGCGAGCTCGGGGGACGCGTCGTCCTCCTCCTTCATGACGCGGTAGTTCCTGCGGGAGTCCGCCGCCAGCGGGTCGCCTAGGTAACGCTTCGGGTCGGCAAGGTAACGCTTCAGGAAGGTCGGGGAACCGTCGCGCGGGGAGGTCGCAGGACTGAATGTCACCTTCCGTGACATCATGTCCGTTAGGCTGACCATCAGGCGCTGCGATTGGTCCTCACCGTGGCAACACACGCCGTCACCGTGGCAACACAACCCGTCACCCTGACAACACACCCAGTCGCCAAGAGCGGCCCTCACCGTGGGTCGACGGGAGTGGCCCTCACCGTAGCAACAGTCGCCGGGAGTCGCCGGGTGTGGTTCTCACCGTGGCAACGGTTGCCCGGATTGGTCCTCACCGTAGCAACAGTTTCCGGGAGTGGTCCTCACCGTGGCAACGGTTGCCGGGAGTGGTCCTCACCGTGGCAACACGTTCGACTTGGAAGACCTGGAGCTTCGGAGCACACCAGTCTGACTCTGACTCTCCTTGTGAGATAACGCTGGATCATCAGTCCCGAAACGTTGATCAGTGCCGATATGGGATAGTCATAAATATGGCTAACCGACGTGTTCAAACCCGTGGGCTGAGGAGCTCACACCCACACACACGCGGCCTGCCACTCGCCTGTACACACGGATCAATCCAACATGGACGTCACGTCAGGCCCTAACTACACACAGGCAGGCTCTGCCTCCTGCTGCAAACACGAGTCACTAACATCCTCCCAACCCGGAATCCGGACACAGGAAACGCAGACGGAAGGAGGGAAGCTCCACGTGACGCAGAATTAATCCCTCGGAAGTCAGTTTGACGCAGCGAATCCGCCGACTGAGACGGAGGAGATTATTCCAAACGGCAGCATCATGGAGTAACGAACGTCAGGCCGGAAGCTTCCCGGCTACATCTGCACACAAACCTGCACACGGGGACTGTGGATGGGGGAAGCCGTGTCTGGTGATGGCAGTGCTGAGTTCCAGCCTGTCCCTGTGGCACAAATTCCTACATATCCGGCCAGCTACCGTCCACACATCTCCCCTACTCTCTCACTCCTGTGGTGAGGCCTTGCTGGTTACAAGAGAAACCCTTTCCCAGCGCTAAAATTCCTTCCCGAGCGTCGGGCGTTGTTGGAAGTGTGCGGGGAGAATCCTGCGGTTTTCCTCCCTCCCTTCCCATTCATGCTTTCCCATCAATGATGTGAGCGCCGGGCCCCATGGGAGAACCATGCATAATGCATGAGAATTATCATAATTGGCAGGCAGGGAAGCTAGCAGCCTCTCTGCCGTCGTAATGCCCAATTGATACACCCAAACCACAACACACACACGCATGCACGCAACTCAATACACTATAATATACAACAGCAGGGGCCCATTCAACACAACTACAGGGCTGGAATTTTAGGGGAATCCGCCCCAGTTCCTATATAAGTGATGTGATGTAGTATTTAGCATACATGACTGGGCAGTTACGGCCTCCATTGTAATGCCAAATAGCCTGACCTTGTAGATCCCTAAAGCCTCAAAGTAATTGCTTCCTGTCATGTGACGTCGGCCGGCCAATCGGTGCGGACTTGTGGGTGATGCGTGGGCCCAGCCGATGCCTGCAATCAGGAGATAAAAAAATACAGCCGGAATTTTAATTCTGCGGGCGAAGAAACGACATAGCACTGTTCATTATAACACTGCACAACACAGAATATAGCAGGCACAACACTGCACACTCAAACAACACTGCAGGAGATAAAAAATACAGCCGGAATTAAATTCTGGGGGCGAAGAAACACGGAATAGCAGTGCTCATTATAACACTGCACAACACAGAATATAGCAGCTGTACCAGGCACAACACAAAAACATTACAACATCACAGGAGATAAAAAATACATTTTAATTCTGCGGGCAAAGCCACACAACGCAATATACAACATGGAATATACAACACGGAAAGAATATACAACACAGAATGTAGCACACGGAATATAGAACACACGGAATATACAACACACGGAATATACAACATGGAATATACACGGAATATACAACACACGGAATATACAACATGGAATATATGCAGCAGTCAATTATGCACTAGTGACCTGGTGTATATACTAACACTAGTACTGCATTGCACAGTGTTCATTATGCATCACTTAGCCCATTATTTTGTATTTTTTTGGTTTACTAAGATATTGCTGTAATCTATAATATTTAGATGCTTTATTCATGACCTGCACTTAGCTTGTAAGAGCATAAATGTACAATATAGGTCTTTCATTCATTCATTCATTCATTCATTCATTCATTCATTCATTCATTCATTATGCACTGCTGGCTGGACCAACAGTGCGTATACATTTGTAGCTTCTTACGTGTTCATTATACACCACTCTCCTTTATTCTGCCTGCCCACAAGCCTGGATGTACAGGTCATATTTAGAAGTCTGTACAATATATGTGTTGAATGAATGAATGGTTTATTGTGCCTGGCTTGAGGGACTCAAAATAACCATACAGTACAGTGACAGCTTTTTGCAGCTGAATTATAGTGTGGTATTACAGAGAGAATATTTACACTCAATTTACACTACAGGTCTAAATGCCTTACGTTTAACTTGCATGTATTAAAAGCATTTCATTAATGTATAAAAATATATAAATATATCAATCTAGCAGGCGATCATGGTAGGTCGGCAAAGCTAGTACGTGTTCATTCTGATATTGTCATTCAGGCAAATTATATGTATGTCTGCAAGGTAATTTGTTTATGATACTATAGAAAGAGACATTGTTAGGGAAGACCACAAGCCTGTATATACAGCTCATATTATTAGAAGAATGTATATTTATATGTGTGTTTATTTTGATATTGTCATTCAGGTAACATTATATTAGTATAATCATATGCATGTCTGCAAGGTTGATTATGATACTTAAGAAAGAGGAAGAGAGAAGCCTGTGGGCTGGGGACACAAGGTGTAATATTATTATAAATTAGTGTATGTGAATTAATTGTGGCTTGTATAATATATGGGAACACCTACACCTAATTGTATTTTATATTTTATAACCTATAAATACTATTGATAGATTCCTACTCGATTAAGGTTACCGTAGCAATATTTTAACCCAGCATGTTATATCTTATATGTGGTGATTTTACATGGATTGTGTGCATATTACAGTAAACCTACATGTGTGTAAAAGATCAGTGCAATTCACTGGCCCTGTCCAAGGCTACTGTGATACTGTAACTTTGAAATAAACCAGTCATATAATGTTAGGGAAGACACATCCACACATCGCTGTCTCCCACTCACACTACATACAGGGCTGAAACCACCCTGGGGTTCCCTCAGCTGCCATGAATGGGGATTCTCTAGACCTTATCTATTATTCATGAGGGTTGCACAAAGCCAGGAAATGGGGAGACGAATACTGTAATTCCTGATTTTTTTCACTGTACTGTTATGTTCACTGTTTTTATCGGCCAAAAATAAAAATGCTACTAAACCACAGGAATACAAAGCTGGTATTGTGAATTTGTGGCAGTACGATTGTACATACATGTACTAGTAGCAATTAAAAATATGACAAGCCAGCACAAGCTGAATTTTTGCGAAATTTATGAATCAGCACTGTACGCTATATACTGAAATTCTCCTCTTCAAAATCTCTGTTAACTGCATGATTGTATATAATTGTACATTGTTCTTAATAATTGTGCAACTAACTAACCGAGGCTATCATTTGTTTGGTCTGTGTTGCATTTTGGTCAAATTGAAATGTGCAGTCATATGGCCACACCAATTTAATTTGTTGGTTCTCTGATTCGCCTCTTTATTTTTCAATTCAAAAATGCTCATATTTTGCCCCCAACAGTTGAGGAAAGTCCTTTTCTTCCTAGGCGTTTAATACAGTTTTTCCATGATCAATGCAGTGGTTTGATTAAAACTTCAAAATTCATTGTTTAAAGATTAACCTACAACTATTGATGCATTTGGGACTATAATACAATGCCTAGACCTGTTTTTATTTTTTTCTCCCTGTTGCTTCATATTTTTTTCCGAAAAAATCCACGAACCAACGAATAAATTGGTGTAGCCTAATGACTAGTTACCTGACACACATCGCTGTCATTTAAAAATCGAGTGTTGCACACATCATTATGAGCCTGTGTTTGCTTGTTACTGTATGTCCCAAGAGAACCTCTGTTGGAGTTATTTTTATTTCACAATGATATAAATAGCCTCACCCCAGTAATGCAGGGCTTACATAAACAAGGAGTCTATTCATCCCAAGCAAATTTTTCCTTTGAGTTAGAGGGTATACAAAAAGGACAGGTTTTCTTTATTCATTAGAGGGTTATGATACAAAAGGTACATTTTTCCTTGTAGTTTGAGGGTATACAAAAGATCAGCATGCACTGGTGAGGATTTTGTACATTCTTCACGAAGGCTAATGTGGCCAAAAATACATTTTTCCAGACCTCTTTCAGTTTCGAATGATTTGCTTGCACAGTGCTGTGAGGAATACTTAGCATGAAGCTATTACTAGTATGTTTTACTAGTATTACTAGAATTAGAAATATGCTGGTGAAACGGGACTACACAGTGCAATATACACATTTCATTATTATGTCACTCACACACTCACTATCCTGGTTTTGATTATACTGCTGTATACACACAAATACATGTTTTTAGATGGCAGGTAAAAGTCTATCTCAAGCTGAGCTGACAACACAGGTCATTTATTGAACAACTTTATTCCAGGAGAGGTAAAATATATTAATAATTATCATACAAAAAACATTCCAATTTTGAGTAACAAACCTAACAAGAGCATCAGTACAGTTAATAGTAATATACTGAACTCCATATTGCTTTTCTAGCCCCTCCATTCTCATTTCTTTATCGACAGCAATTTCTGCTTTGGTGATGAGAAGTTCGCTGAACCTGGTTAGTTTTTGCCCCAGTACAATCATAATTATGCAGTAGCTCCTGTATCTGACAGGAAGAAGCGACGATTCCGGCCCCTCAGGACCAACCCTTCCGGCCGCTCGCTACAGGCAGGAAGCAGGAAGGAAGCCGCCACAGTTCGCTACAAAGGAAGCTGCCGGGATTCGCTACAAAGCCGCCCCCCGGGGAGTCTCATCTTCCGCCTTCCGCTGTGGCTAAATAACCTGCTGCATGGCTAATGGGGGGGGGGGGGGTGATGTGATGCCGGCTTGGAGTTCATTCCACTTCCTCTATAGCTTAAGCTGCACTCAGCAAACATTATCTACAACCTACAAAATCACTGTGAATTTTGGTATAAACAAAAACAGTTTATAATTATAATAATATACTTTAATGTAAAGCAGAGGCTTGGGGTTCATTCCACTTCCTAAACTAAAGCTGCACTCAGCAAACTTGCAACACATTTTCATCTATCTCATCTTATCTACCAAAATCACTGGGATTGGTACAAACAAAAACAGTTTATAATTAGTGAATTAGGTTTAAATTATATTTGCAGAGGCTTGGAGTTCATTCCACTTCCTCCAGCACTCAGCAAACATGCAACACTTTCTCATCTATCTCATCTTATCTACTAAAATCACTGTGAATTTTGGTATAAACAAAAACAGTTTATAATTAGTGAATTGTTTAATGTAATGCAGAGGCTTGGAGTTCATCACTAAGCAAACATTCAACACATTTTCATCTATCTACTAGTATTTATATGTATTATGGACATGCTAATAATGTTTTGTTTAGTTTAACTGTTGACCACCTTTCGTTGCTTTACTAAATGTAATCATGCCTTGTCCTGTGTAAATCATAAAATGTATGCTGGGCCCCATTGGGCTATCCAGCCGTTTTAGGATGAAATAAATGTACAAATCCACATCAAAATCACTGTGATTGGTATAAACAAAAACTGCTCCTCTTTGGTTGCAATGTGAAATCACACCATAAAGATACAGATTTAATGCTTAAACTGCAATGCTTTAAGGGTGCAGTTCTACCAACAACTGCAAGATGTCAGCTCTGTACAGGTAAAACTGAAAGCAATTGCTGTACCTTATATTCACCTAATTACAAATTACTACAAAATTTGACAAGTTAATAGTTCCTTCTTCATTCTAAATTAAGAATTCAAGATTGATATTCAGTAAAAGAGACATCAAGGGTGTCTTCCAACAGTTTACCTGAAACTAAACAGTGGATTTAATGGCATTTTCATAAGCAACTTCATGTCTTTTTCCTTCTATAAACCTACTGTGGCACAGCTTTTCCTTCTATTTCTGTCTTTCCCTGATCCCATGCTTCATGTCTGTAACAAGTCTGCTCAGATTTTGGAGCTTGCCTGTGTAGTCAGAGCTACATCTGTGGCATGCCATCCTCCCTACACACACAGCTACACCAGCCATCCACACAATCCCAATCATCCCACTGCTATTCACTGTTATCCTTATCCCATGCCTGTACCTGATATTGTGCTAAATACATACTATATTTTCAGTTGTACCATTTTCTGTCTTTCCCTGATCTTATGCTTCAAGTCTGCTCAGCTTTCGGAGCTTGCCTGTGTAGTCAGAGCTACCATCTGTGGTATG